TTGATTTTGGAATTGCAACTACATTTTAGCAAATAAGCCACATTTGCAAATATGGAATCTGAATAATGAGGATCCACTGCATGTGGTGGGGAAAGGGGAAGAGGAATTAAGAAAGAAGAGCCAAGTGGGAGCTGGATCATGAAGGTCCTCGCTGGCCAAGCTTCATCCCATGCCCTTTGGGGCACCAGGACACGTGAAGCCGGGGAGTCACTCGCGTGGGTCAGTGGTGCACTGAGGGGAGGGGAGGGCCAGCCCTCAGAATCTCCCTCCTCCGAACAGCACGTGGTCCTAAGGGACAGGCCATGTAACTCCCCCTATTCAACACTCACGGAGCGCCTTCTGTGGGCCAGGCCCCACGCTCAGTGTCACGACCCTTGGGTAGCTGGAGGCAGTCTGCTGCAGGGGAAGTCATTCCAATGGAGGAAGCGGAAGGAATCAGGGATGGCCTAGGAAAAGCACGGAGTTGGAGCTTAATCAACGCATTCGACCAGTGAATGCAATAGGGAAGGCTCCTGAGATGTTTCAGCTGCGCATGATGGCAGTTGGCCCGGTGAAGGTGAAGAGGAGAGGGTATTCCGGGCAGGGGGAGCAGCAAGTGCAAAGGTCTAACAGTGAGAGAGACGTGAAAGCATTTAGAAACTGAAAGAACTGGGCGCCTGGGTGGCTCAGTTGGTTAAGCGACTGCCTTCGGCTCAGGTCATGATCCTGGAGTCCCGGGATCGAGTCCCACATCGGACTACCTGCTCAGCGGGGAGGCTGCTTCTCCCTCTGACCCTCCCCCCTCTCATGCTCTCTCTCTCTCAAATAAATAAATAAAATCTTAAAAAAAAAAAAAAAGAAACTGAAAGAACTGTCAGGCCAGGTCTAAAGCCGGGGAAGAGAAGGGTGGGGAGAGATGAGGCCAGGGAGGAGCAGTTCATGCACTGCTCTGACCTCTTGGTAAGGAGTTGGAACTTTATCACAAGAGCAATGGGGAGCCAAAGAAAGTATTCTGAGTAGAGAAGTGTCAAGGCAAGATTTACACTTAGGAAGATCTCCCTGGAGGACCCAGGGGAGAACAGAGGGGCAGGGGGAAGCTGGGAGCTCTGTGAGGTCACTGGGATTGTCCTGGTGAGAGACAGTGGGAATGGGTCCAAGCAGACGGACTGCAGAGAAGCTTCTGTAGGAAGACCCAGCAAGCCTTGGTGACAGAGTGCAATGAGACTGAAAGGCAGGAGAGAGGCCAGGGTTCAGGTGCCTGGCCCTGGGGTCTGGGTGACCATCGGTGCCATCTTCCATTTGGGGACACACACAAGTTTGTCGAGGCGAGCTGTTAAGTGTGGTACTGATGATGTGCCGAGTTTGAGAGTTCTGGGGGCCGTGAGACCAGCAGGCTTGGAGCCTGGAGGGGAGGCTGGGAACCGTAGGGCTCATGCCGAGGCTGCGGAGGAGGGGGTAAGCTATGAGGAGGACGGCCCTGGAGCAGTGCTGAGAGCACCCAAAGAGGAGGGGATGAGGGGGGAGGCTGAGAAGGGGAGGCGCAGCAAGGTAGGAGGAAAATGGAGTCGGAGTGCTGGCGGGGGCAGACTCTGGAAACCAAGTGAGAGTGTTTCAAGGAGGAAGGGTCCACCAGGCCCAGACCCATCCAGGGGTCGAAGATGACAGGGATGGGATCTTTGGATTTGGCAATTAGTGATGTTAGCAGGAGGGACAGAAGCCAGACTAGGGGTGGGGGGGGGGAGCGGTGAGGAACTGGAGGCTATGAGTGAGAGAGCTGATGACTAGGCCCTTCAGCCTGTGAAAGGAGAGAGGAGACTAGAGCAGTGGGAGCTGGAGGTGGCTGTGGTGTTTGGGGTGGTGGCAGGGGCCTGACAGGCAGTTGGTTGATTCATTGCTCAGAGGAGAGATTCCAGAATTTCAGTGTTGATGGGAAGGAGTTTGAAGTAAATGAGGGCTGAGGCAAGGGAGCGCATCCCTGGAGGAAGTCCCTGAGAAGGGCTGGTGTGGGGAAGCACAGGGCTCGTCCCCAAGCTGCTGGGATGGGCACTTTGGAGGGGGGAGGTTGTGGGAATCCCCATCGGTGGCGTCCAATTTCCCCGCGGGGAGAGAGGGAGGAGAGGCCCCCCGGAGAGGTGGGGATGGTGCACGGATTGCGCCTTTGGCTGATTGCTTCAGGAGGGCGTCGGAGGGTCTCCCGTAGATGCACAACACTCTCCGCAACCTAGCGACAGCTGAGGCTAAGGGACAAGCGAGTGGCCCCAGGTCACACAGCCCACGGGTCAGCCTGGGCGTCCTGCCGCTCCGGCCCCCTTACCCTGAAGAGCGCCGCGGCCTGCTGCGCCCGATAGCCCTGCCGGGCCGCGTGCTTCCAGGGGATGCGGAAGAGGGTCTTGCCTGCGTCCTCCCAGCACAACCCCGCGCAGCGCCCGCTCTCAGTCTGTGCCACCAGCCAGTCGCGGAGGCGCAGGGGACCCCCGGCCCCTGCCATTGGTCGCCCGCCGTCGGGGACCTTCCCTTCCTCCCTCCGCCAGGGGTCGCCGGCCATCCGGGACGCAGGGCGCCAGCAGCCAGGGCTGGGGCGTGCGGCTGCTGGGACCCCAGCGCGACGGGGAATCGCGAAGCCACCTGGATGGCGCGCGGAGGCGGCGAAAGCTAAAGTTCTGGATGGGCGAGTTTCGCTTTCTTTTCTGTCCCCCTGATCCGGGAGGCCCTATCCTTTCGCCTTTCTCTGTAGTAGCCTGGCTCGGAGGGCGTCGTGCCGCCGCACGGAGGGGGCAGTTAGAGGCACGGTGGGACGCCAAGACCCGCTGGAGGGTACGGGGAGGATAGCCAGGGATCTGTCCGTCCCCGTAGAGGGGCCCCGGCCACCCAGAGGCGTCCCTTGCGCCACCCGTGCATCTGTTCTCTGTTCTTCCCAGACTGTGGGGAACTCACAGATCTTTTCTAGCACCTGGACTGTAACACGTTGTAAAGCCATAGGGCTTCTTAGACTAACTCCCATCGGAATTGGGAGGCAGAGATTAGTTTAAAATGTACACTCCTTGCCTCCATACCAGACCCGCAGAAAAAGACTTTCTGGGCAAGCAGCCAGTAATCTGCATTTAACGAGTTCTCCCGTGGGAGTCTGATCCAGGTGGTCCCTGAGCCACACTTGGGAGAAATATTTCCTTAAATACTGGGAGTCCTCATCTACTGATGGCTCACTATGGTGTTGGCCTGGCTAAAGCCTTTCCTGCAGGGTCTCAGTTGGTTCTCACCACAGCGTGTGAGATGAGTCTACCCATTTTATTATTAAGAAGAATAAGGCTCAGAGAGGTTAAAGCCCTGCAACAAGGTCATAGAGCTAGTACGTGGAGGCCGTCAGGACCGGAACCTCTGTCTCTCCGTCCCCAAAGCCCAGGAGCCTAAAAAGCGCCCCACGCTATCTCCCAACAGCTTACACCTGGGGTTTAGGGACACCCCCCCCGAAAATATATACAATTTTTTTCATGTTTACGCATTTTTCTAGGGTTTGTATCTTTCATTTAATTGTCAAAGGGAATCTGCAATTTGAAAGAGGTCAAGTAGCTCAGGGACTTCCTCCAGGGATGCTCTAGCCTTTGTTGTGTACACAGGGAAACTAAAACTCCAAATGAGCACAGAGCTGGACGCCTGGTCAGCGTTGACCAGAGGCTGGAAGTACTGTCCTTCATGTGCACCTGTCGGGGGGGGGGTGGCTTCTTCATGCTCCCCACCCTCTGTTCTCCCACGCCAGCAGCCACTCAGTTCTGAGCCCTCTAGTTATAGCCATGATTCAGACTCACCTGTAGGGCTCCGGGGGGTTGGGGGGGGGCGCAAAGCATTTCATAGGAATAAATCCAAGTGTAATAATTACATCTAAGCAGGAATTTTAAGTGTGTCAGACAATCTTTTCATTTTTCTGGGTGGCAGAGTCATAGTGATTAGGAGGATGAGGTTCCCTCAACTTCCCAGCCAGACTGCCTGGATTGAAATCCCAGGCCCACCACTTGCCAGCTGGTGACCTTGGATATCAACCTCAGTTTCCTGAGGAGGAGGCTGGGCAGCAGGTGAGGATTATTTCTTCATTCCTCACACCCCCAATACTGGAATCTGGGCTCCCCCCACAGCCCTGAACACAGTGCTTGGTGCATAACAGGGACCCCTTACAGGTGGCTATTAGCTTGGAGTTTTTTCAGACCCCTCTCAACTCCAAGTTACTTTTTAGTTCAGAAAACTCAGCTCGGATGACCTCTGTTCACCCTTGGGTCAGTTTGCTGCTTGCTTGGGCTGCCCCCTGGCCTTTAAGCTCTATGCGGGAAGGATCTTGAGTGGGAGAAGATATTTGCAAATGATATATCCAAGAAGGAGTTAATATGCAAAATATATAAAGAACTTATACAAGTCACCACCAAAAGGCACCAAGGAACTATTTCTTAACAGCCACCATGGGACACAGACTGCCTAGGTTCAAATCCAGCCTCCCCTACTCTAGCTGTCCTCAGGCAAGCTGCCTACCCTTTTTGAGCCTCAGTTTCCTCCTGGGGATTAAGTGAACTCATGCATATAAAAAGTCAGGCATGAAGGAGGCACTATTTGGACAGCTTACTAGCTAGTATTTGTGAAGAGGGAAGACAAGGGGAGCTGGTGAGAAGGGCTCAGAGGGGGAAGGGGGTTGAGAGAGAAGGAGGGATTCAGGGGCCTTTTCAGGAGACCAGGTCTTCAGGGAGAGATATGGGGCGGGGGGGGGGGGGGGGGCTCAGGGCAGTGAATGGAGTCCCGGAATTCAGCTCTGCCCAGAGCAGTTTTTGGGAGGTGGCAGGCTCCTCCAGACCCTAGGGGATGCAGACCCCCTCCCAGCCCTGTTTCCTGCAGGCTCCAGCCCCAGGTAGAGTCCTGCATCCCTGCCCCTTGCTGAATAACTAGGAGGAGCTCAGACAGACAGCTTCTGTGTCTCTTTAATATCCTCCAGGCCCATCCACCCCCCTCCCCCACCCACCCAGTCCCACTCCCGCTGCCTTTAAGGGTGGAGGCCCGGGTGCCCCCTCCCCCCAGCCCAAGGACTAAGGCACCAAGTGGCTGCAGCAGGCCCGGCCCAGACACAGAGACGCACGGATGGAGGACACACAGACTGCAGACGCAGACAAGCAGGGCGGGCATCAGGGGCAGGGGCAGGGGCAGGGCTCAGGCCACCGCGGGGCTCCCGCAGGCTCCGGGTCTGTCCTGGAGGCCGTGGGAGGCCCAGGCAGCCCCGAGGGTGGGGATGGGGGTGGGGGACCGGTCGGAAGGAAGAGGGGCGCCAGGGCGGGCCGGGATCCTCACTTGCCGCCTTTGCGGGACAGACACCGCGGGAGGCAAGAGAAAGTCTGCTTGACGCGCGCCAGCAGGGGCAGCGGCCGGTGGGCCTCGCGGGGCGGCCGCGGCACCAGGCGCTGCAGGGCTCCCTCGGAGGCCGCCGAGCGCGGCGCGGGGGACGCGGGGGGCGCGGGGGGCGCGGGCGCAGGGCCCGGCCGGCAGCGCTTGCAGAGCGGCAGCAGCGCGCGCACCTCCTCCTCGTCGCGGAAAGGGCTCTCTCCGAAGCGCTCCTCCAGCTGCCGGCGGAGCTGGGGGTGGGGGCGGGGGAGCCGGGGGTCGGTCGGTGCCAGGCTGCCGGCCCGTCCCCGCCGCAGTGCTCGTCGCTTCCGCCAGCCCGCGAGCTCCCCACCCCTCGCTAGGCCCCTCCCCTTCCCGAGCCTCCCCTCAGCCTCCCTGCTGAGTTTCCATCGCCCTCTTGGAGCCCCCTCATCCTCCGAGTCCCTTCCCTCTCCTGAACCCCCTTCCCCTTTGCCACGTCATCTTCTAGACCTGCTAAAGCGACGGCCGCCCGCCCTCGGGCCCGGGGCGGCGTGGGGGGGGGGCACCCGAATCCTCCTCCCGGAGCAACACCCCCCTCCGCACTGGCGGCCTCTTTGCCTGCCTCCTTCGTCAAGCAGCCTTGCAGATAAGCCTCTGAGTACCAGCCTGGCACCTGACGAGAGCCTTCCTGCACCTGCTGCCTCCCTCTCATCCCTTATTCCCAGGTTCTTGACCTCTCCATGTGCCATCCGCCCAGTGGGCATAAGAGAAGGAGATGCTTTGGCCTCGTCAGGGACCCAGGGGTGGAGTAGGGAATGGACATCTCTCCCCAGAGGGGTCAAACATTCAAATGCCTTCAGGTGCCAGACAGGTAGAGCATGCAGTGCTGGGACCTGGTCAGACTGAAGGGTCCATAGTCTGGCCCAAAGGCATCCAAATACTAAACTAAAAAGGGAAAGATAACATCTGGCTGACCGAACAAAACACACCTAGATGCTAGATTAACTCAAGGGTCACGAGTTCGAAACCCCCAGAAAAATCTTCGGTCTGGTCTAACTTCTTTCCCGCCAGTGCTCAACTCAAGCCGGAAGAAGAGTCCCCCAGCCCGGGGCCAGCTCCTGCCTCTGCCGCAGCCCCTACCTTCCGGGCACTGCCCCAGCCAAACTCTTCAAGCTGCTGCCTAAAGCCTGGGTTGGGGTTGGCGATAGGCCGGGTGGCCTTGATGGCTTCAAGCACGTCCCGCCAGCCTAGCCCCGTCACAGTCATCACATATGCCGTCACGATGGTGGTGCTGCGGGAGATGCCTGCAAAGCTGGGTACCCGCCACCCCCCCCAGGCTTCAGGTAAGGCCCAATCGCTGCCATGACCTGCCCCCAGACACCCCCTCCCCACCTCAGCCCTCCCGCCCTCGCCTCTGAGCTCCCCTCACAAGAGCCTGCCCGGACCTGTTTTCCCACTTCCTTTGCCCGTTCTGTTCCTTCTGCCTGGAGTATGCCCCGGGGAACTCAGGCCTCTGATGTGGGAACATCACTTCATTCATTCATTCAACAAACATTTCCTGACCATCTGTTATTTTTCAGGTACTGGGGATATATAGTGGGGAAGAAAACAGACATGGTCTATCCTGGGGCTTCTAAGATGTTTGGGTGAGACGGCCACGAACCAGGGAAACAATTTCAGGTGGTGCTAACTGCTCTGAAGAGGAGTCCAGGGGCTAAGAGATCATATAGGAAAAGGTATTAATCTAGTGGAGGGCTTGGGGAGGGATTAGGGAAGGGGTTTCAAAGGAAGTGACATCAAGCTGAGTCCTGAGAGATGGGAAAGGGGCAGTCAAGAATGTTCTGGGCAGTGTTTGAAGTCCATGAGGTGGAAGCTGGTGGATTTGAAGGGTGAGGAGTTGGCCAGTGCATCTGGAGTGGGGGAAGGAGGGGCAGAGGGCGACAGACAGGCTGGAGGAACCGTTCTTAGGACTAGGGCTCTGGCAGAGCCGCCCTGAGCCCAGCATAGGGTCGGTGCTTAGTGGGAAGTTACGGGATGAAAGACATCAACTGGTGTGTGTGTGTGTGGGGGGTGCTGTGAGTCCTGTCTCCCAGCCTGGGGTTCCCCACTGCTCTGCCCTATTTCCTCAAAAGCCTGGAGGGGAGGAGAGGGAGCCATAACAGTTGGAGGGTGCTGGGCTACCTGCATGACCTCACCTCTCCCCTCCTGATAGCCTAGCAGGCAACAGTCTTTTCTCCATTTTACAGATGAGGAAATGGGAGTCTCAGGGAGAAACAGCACTTTGGCCTTGGCCACACAGCTGGTAAGGGACAGAGCCCTGATTGGAGCCCCCGATCAGCCTCCATCAGGTGAACGGCCGACTCTCATGCATGGCAGCGGGCTGGAGAAGGTCCGTCCCAGGTTCCTCATGCCCCATAGGGTGAGTGCATGCGTGTGATGGAGGACAGCCCCTTACCTGCTCCCCTCATTCCTCTCTTAACTCACCAGTGCACAAGGCAGTTCCCCCCATTGAGGCGGCAACAGTGGATGAAGTTGATACATTCTTTGAAGTGCTTTTTGCTAGAGAAGAAAGCAATAGGGTCGGGAACATTGGGGGGCGGGCGTCCTAGGAGTCTTCCCCCTCCGCACTGATGGGCTGTCAAGAGCCCTGGGTCCTCGGGGCAGCCAGGCCAGGCAGCGAACAGGGCCTGTACTACAGTACAAGGGGAGGGGTGTGTGAAGCAACAGCGGTGGCATTTCAGGCAGTGACAGGGGCTGATGATGAGAAATCCCACCACAGAGGCAGGAGCACCTCCCCAGTGGGATCTGTGGATCCTACTTTCATGGAGGATTTATCTTGGTCTTTCAAGGACATGGGTGGGAGGAGACAGAGGAGTCCCACTCCTCTGGGGTGTGCAATCAGAGCACCTGATTGCAGGGACAATGTTGGTCAGCCATGGGTTGGGAGGAGTGTCTGTCTGGGTCACTCCCAGGCTGGGAGGCACTGCTGCTCATAACACAAAATAAATCCTGTTTTCTGAGTCCCCGTTACATGCCAGGCCCTGTCCTGGATCCTCAGCCTGTGCCATCTGATCTCAGAGAGGGAAAGTGATTTGTGCGAGGTCACACAGCAAGTAAATGGCAAAGCCTGGCTGGAGCCCAGATGTCTTAACTCCAGGGCCAGGAACTGGCTGAGCCTAACTGCTTCAAGTCTGCTGGGGCGTCTGGTCCTTAGACAGGGTACTCTCTCCATTTCACAGCTGAAGACACTGAGCTCTGGGAGGTTAAAGGTCTTGGCCCGGGGCATAGGCAAGGGCGTAGCTGACACAGAGTCAAACAGAGGTGTGAGTGAGCACTTGTGCTAGGCTCCCCAGGACAGCTTTCTGGCATGAGTCCTCTCTTTCCTCCCCCAGACCACGTCTCACCCTCCCTGCCACCACCACAGAAGACACCTCTGTTGGTGCCTCCAGAGAACTTACATGGGTACCTCAGGGGTGTCCGCCACAGGGATGCGAAGGTAGGTTATGTCCTGCAAGTACAAAATACACATGGGCAGTGGGGGGCCCTTGGCTGCACCCCTGACCTTGGCCAGGGCTGCCGAGCACCTCATGACCCCAGGCCAGTTCCTGCCCCTTTCTGAGCCACTGTTAACCCTCTCAATCCAAAGAGGGTAGCTATCACCTCTGAGCACCTCCCAGCTCTATCTGTGCTTCCAGAACCTTCTGAGAAGATGGCATCCTAACTTCATAGGTGACTTGGGCTTGAGGACTTGATAAAAAGTATTCAGGAACCTTTTATTTAATAGGTGGGAAAGGGCCAGTAACAGTGACTCTCCTCCAAATGAGGATTACAAAATTACACCAAAAAAAGGGCAAAACAGGGGCACCTGGCTGGCTCAGTTGGCCGAGCATGAGCCTCTTGATCTCGGGGTTGTGAGTTCGAGCCCCACGTTGGATGTACAGAGATTATTTAATTTAAAAAAACATTTTTTTGTTTTAAGATTTTATTTATGTATTTTTTTCATAGAGAGAGAGAGTGAGAGAGCACAAGCAGGGGGAGCGGCAGGGAGAGGGAGAAGCAGACTCCCCGCGGAGCAAGGAGCCCAATGCGGGGCTCAGTCCCAGGACCCTGGGATCATGACCTGAGCCGAAGGCAGATGCTTAACCAATTGAGTTGCCCAGGCATCCCCCAAAAAAGGTTTTTTAAAGGCCTTATTAAAAACAGATTTCGTTATCTTGAAAAGAAACAAAAACCATGAAAATAAGTTTATAGCTCATTAATTATGGTTATAAAACTATGTGCCAATTATTAAAATAATCAAGGGATGAACTGTCTCCCACAAACTGGCTATGACATCCTTTACTTCATGCCTAACCTTCACACAAGATCATAAAGATGATTTGTGCTCCTGTTCCAAGAATCACTTTTCTCAAGGACCTCTTTTAATCCTTTGATATTCAAATGACTGTTTTCCAGTGCCAGGCCCACCACCATTCCTGGCTAAGGAACCCCGGGGCCAGGTCCTCACTTGTTAATGGCTTTGTGTGAGATTCCAGCCCTTCTCTGACTCACTTTTCCCAAGGTCACACCATCCTGCCTCTTTTGCAAGGTTTGCAATTTCACTTTGCAACACATTTGGCCTTGGGATTGCTTGGCATTATCAAACCCTGACTGGTAAATTCACTGATAGATGGGGAGGCAGGGCTGCCTGTAGGAAGAAGGGAAGGCTGTTGGAGTGGGGACTCATTTGGCAAGCAGTCATTTCATTAGTCAATCTATTCATGACTTGACAACCTTCCCTGTGCAATCTAGTGACTGCATACTCCAAATACTCCAAAACAAGCTTGTCCTATAAAGAAAATCTGACTCCACTGACCTGGAAATTTCTTGTTTGAATGACACTGAGAATCACAGATTATTGGAGGTTGCTTTTTTTGTTTTAAAGATTTTATTTATTTATCTGACAGAGAGAGACACAGAGAGAGGGAACACAAGCAGGGGGAGTGGGAGAGGGAGAGGGAGAAGCAGGCCTCCCACAGAGCAGGGAGCCTAATGCGGGGCTCCATCCCAGGACCCTGGGATCGTGACCTGAGCCCAAGGCAGACGCTTAACGACAGAGCCACCCAGGCGCCGCTGGAGGTTGCTTTTAGAGACCATCAACGCTGACACATGGGGACACTAAGGCCCAGAGAGGGGAAGGAACCTATCTGAGGTCACATAGCAAATCTGGTATAGAACCTGGTTTGGATTTCAGATCTCCAGAGCCCTTTTCCACCCACAGTTAATTGCCCTTTAGTGGGGGACACACAACACACTCTGATAGATAAGGAGGAAGGGGCTCTATTTATGGAATAAGAATATGATTAACTTTGCTGTATCAGCTGTAATTTGTTGGCTGTTATGTGGCCCTCAACAGCTCAGTGAGGTAGGTGCTCTTATAAAATCACCATTTCAGGGTGGTGCAGTCGGTTGAGCGTCTGACTCCTGGTTTCTGCTCATGTTGAGGGTCTCAGGGTTGTGAGATTGAGCCCCACATCGGGCTCCACACTCAATGCAGAATCTACTTGAGATTCTCTTTCCCTCTACCCTCCTGCTCATGCTCTCTCTCTCTCTCTCTCTCTCTCTCTCTCTCTCTCTCAAATAAATAAATAAATAAATCTTCATAAAATTCCTATTTTACAGATCAGGCAACTGAGGCTCAGAATGGTGAAGTCCTGTGCCGAGATTCCAGAAGTGGTCTGGATTTACTACTTTCCTTCTCTGGGTTAGAACACCCTTACCCTCTCTTTTCCAGGACTCCAAAAAACCAGCACCAATCCTTCCGGTGGGGGCCATGCTTTACTGTGTGCAAAGCATCTTCACCATCCTGCAGCCCCTTTGCCTCCTTACAACAGCCCCTCTGGGGGCAGACAGGACTGAGGGATCAGAGGCCCAGACAGGTGAAGTCACAGCCCAAGATTACACAGCAAGACACGGAACCCAGAATCATCCATTTGTAGTCATCTATTCAGTTAGGCAAAGGGAAGCCCGTGTTGGGGCCTTTTTAAGGTTCAGGGTGAGGCCTCTGGGGTCAGACCATCAACTCCTAACTCCTTAGCTTCCTGGATGTGTGACCTTGGGCAAGTTACTTTACCTCTCTGGACCTCAGTTACCAAATAGGGATCAAATGGGGATGCTGATGTAAAACAAGTCAGTTTTTAACAGAATGACCTAGTATGGGTCAGGGAGGCAATATAGGGCCTGGCGCATAAGTACTTGATAAATGGGTGCTGTGGGGGCGCTGAAGCTCCCCTCTGCACCTGTATACAGCCCAAGGACAGGGGTAAGGAGTACCTGCAGCAGAGGCTGGGGTGACTCGTGGATAGAGATGATGTGTGTGATCTTGTTCCGGCCCAGCTGGTCAGGGTCTTTGGCATCTGAAAGAAACAAAATGCCTGAGCCCATCTGGCCAGTGAGACTTACATGTCCCTGACGGTCAAGAGAGGTGGGAGCTCGCTGCCCAGCTCCCCTCCCCACCCCTCCCTCTCCACTTTGGCCCACCCTCTGCCAGCCCCCTGCTCCTTGGCCACCTCCTGCTCCTAGGCCTGACAGGTCCCACCACACCTCTAGGCTTCAGTCTTGGCGCTGGGGCACCCACAAGTAACAGCCCAGCCTCTTCCCGGCTTGCCCCTGCAGCTCCTTCCACAGCAAACACCCTTTCCTGGCATATCCTTGATCTAGCAACTCTACTTCCGGGAATCCTGTCTACAGAAGGGTCTGCTCACTCAGAAAGCTGTGTGTAGAAGACGATGTTCTCTGCAGTACTGCTCGTAACAGTAAACACACCAGAAATTGTTAAAAAGTGGGAGCAATCTACACATCCATCCTGAGAGAACTGGATAAATAATGGTATATCCATACTTGAATACTGTGCAGCCATTGGATAGAAAAGACCTGTCTGTGCTGATGTGCGAGCATGTCCACAGTATATTATTAAATAGGAAACAGGTGACTGAACGGCATGCAGAATAGACTTACATTTTTGTTTTAAATGTTACATCTGCATCTACAAAGATATATGAAAAGCAACACAGAGATAAAGCTCACACTTCTATCGGTGGCCGTCTCCAGGGGCTGGAATCCAGTGTATGTGGATCTTTTAGAATCAGAATAAACAACACATATCCCCTCTCTCTCCATAGGTCTACTTCATTCAACACGTTTCCTCTGTGCTTACTATGTGCAGCCTTGGCTGGGCATGGAGGTGTAGGGGCAACTTCATACCCCTTGCCCTCATGGGGCTACAGACTTCAAGAGGATCCAGAGCTTCCTTGGCTCAATACTCAAAAATCAAGTAGCATGAACAGCTGAGATGGCTCCCAGGGAGGAGGAGATCAGATTTATGGGGGTGGAGCACCTAAGCCAGGGCGGGGGGGGGGGGGGGGGGGGGGGCGGGGGTGGATGGAGAAAGTCCTGTCCTGGTGCAGATGCCCCTTCCTCTCTGAAGATTTCTCTGACTCCACATGGAAAAGTGTGGAGTCTCAGGATCAGCCAGTCTCTTAGCACAGGCCTGGGACAGGTAGAGGGCCGTCGCCTTGGGACAGAGTGGATGGTGCTCACTAACAAGTTTCTGGGGTAGAGTCCAGTCTCCAGAGACCTCCCCTCTGTGTAGAAGTTTGTAGGAGGAAGGTCCCAGCTTCCCAGCTAGAGAAGCACCCTCGAACAGACCTCCACCCGGAGCCTCAGGGCTGTAAGAGCCCTTAGAGGTGAGTGGGCCTTGTGCTGAGGGAGAGCCTGGGGCTCAGAGCAGGTGCAGCCTTGCCTGGCATCTGGCAGGTGTTGCGAGCCCTTTGCACTGGGGACACTCCCCGCCCACATATCCCTTAGCCCTCATGAGCTCCTTCTCCCTCCCAGCCTGGCCTTGTTTCCCTGCCCCCAGCCCCATTCCTGAGCGCTTCCAAGGTGCGTGGGCCAGAGCATGAATGGTGGACACAGGCCTGGGACAGGCAGAGTGCCATGGCCTTGGGACGGAGTGGGCAGTGCTCACCAATGAAGTTTCCGAGGTAGAGTCCAGGAAGTACCTACAGGAGAGACAGGCTAGGGTCAGTGGGGTAGGGGTGCACGCCTTCCCACCGGCTAGCTGGGGGCCCACAACCCATCCCCATCCCATGACAGGTGTCTGGACCTCAGGACTCAGGGAGCAATCTCCTCCCCCTCCTGGACCTGGACTCTGTGAGAGGGGCTGGGGAGGGCAGGAGGGTGGGCACCAGGAGAGGCCAGCTTGGGTAGGGGTGAGAGCTTGGAAGGGGGATGGAGAGGAGGAACATAGGGGACGGGGAGAGGTGAATTTGCCAGGTGGGTGGTGGGGAATTCTGAGGAGGGAGGTGGGAAGGCAGGGACAGGGAGAGGGTCATGCAGAGGCAGAGGGGGAAGGATGGAGAAACAGCACCAGAGAGAAAGTCCAAGGAGTCAGAGGCAAGGAAGACAGAGACACCTGGAAACAGGGAAAGGGACTCAGAGAGAGAGAGTGTGGGAGTGACAGAGAGCCACAGAAAGACCCAACAAGAAATACAGAGTCACAGAAACAGGCAGAGACAGCGACACAGGGAGACCGAGGCCAGAGACACACAGAGACAGAGACGTGAGCAGAGAGACACAGGGATGCAGGGTCAGAGAGTCACCGGGAGACAGAGATCTAGACACACGGAGCCTCAGGGCGAGGGCCAGAAGGTCAGAGGCGGGCACAGCGACCCAGGCGGAGCCGGCGCCGCGGCGGGGCTGGGGGCGGCCAGGTGCGGGCTGCGCGATCCCCGCCCCCCTACCTTGGTCATGCCATTCCCCATGATCCCGGGGGCAGGGGTCCGGGCGCACCCCCAGCTCGCCGCCCGGAGAGCGCTCGGGTCGCAGCTGCCCTGCTGGCCCAGGCCCGGCGCCTGCAGCCTGGCGGGGAACAGGGGCCCCTGCCCGGCCGCCGCCGCCGCCGCCGCCGCCGCCGCCACCACCGCCCGCCGACCCCCGGCCAGGGAGGGAAATGGTGGTGGAGCCGCCGCCGCCGCCGCCGCCGCCGCCGCCGCCGCCGCAGGCTCCTCCTACCCCCTCGGTCATGTGGGGGGGCCCCCCCCACCGTGGGTCGCGGCGGGGGGCTGGACAAAGCCCCAGTGTGCCGGGCCCAGCGCCCGCGGGACAACGGCAGCTTGTTGGGCCGCGTGGGGCCGCCACCTCCGGAGGTGGGGGCGGGGGCGCTCCCCCCACCTGGCACCGTCAGGCGCGAGCGGGGTGGGCGCGGGGGCGGGAAGAGCCCCCGGCCGGCCTCGCAGCCACTCAGATCCCAGCTCCGGCGCTGCCCCGGACATCCCTGTGGGCCCTGGCGCTCCCTCGGCCTGGCCGCGGTTTCCTAGCAGAAACGTGACGGGGGCCGGACTTGGATCGCTGTGGGTCCCCCTATATTCAGATACTGTGTGGGTAATTCCTTCCTTCTGTACATCCTCACTCCTGCCCCGCCCGCATGCAGGCATCCTACCAGCCGGCCGTCCTCCTCCCCCCACTCATACGGCCGTCCGCCCTCCCATCCTCCAGTCCACCCATTCATCCTTCCCTCGGTCCATCCATTCATCCATCCATCCATCCATCCAACCTCCCTCCCTCCCATCCCTTCATCCCATCCACATTGGCCTCTATGCGGATGGTGTCATCTGGGTCAGCTGTGCTGAGACCAGGCATAACTGCCCTCTGGGGCCTCAGAGGTAAAATGTGAGGAGAGGGAGGCCAGGCGGGAGGTTCCAGACACCTGGGTCCCTTGGAATAAAGGAGACTACAGTAGGATGTAGTTAGAGGCTAGAGTCCTGGACCTGAAAAGGTTCCAAGCCCTATTCACCTCTGACCTGCTGGGTGACCCTGGACAACTCTCCTTGGCTCCCAGCTGCCCTATCTGTGTGTCTCAATGTGTGGCGGTGAGCCCTTTCTGGCTGCTAGGACCAAAGCTGAAGAATGTAAAATACTTGAGACCGGGCACCTCCTATGGGTCTGAAATAGAAGCAGCCGAGCCAGCTTGGGTCCTCCAGCTACCCTCCGCCCTGCATCTATAGTAGTAGGTGATTATGGAGGAAATGTTGGTACAGAGCAGGACAGAGAGTTGACAGAACCTGTTTGAAATGCAGTGACTGGAGAGAGATAAAATTGTCTTTGGCATTTCTTTCTTCCTCAAATTCACAGTGTACATGGGGCTGCCTGTCTCATCTCTCCCTGTGCACAGGATTCTCATAAAAACGACAACAAATGCTTACAGAGCACCTACTATATGGTAGGTACTAGGGACCCAGAGGTGGCTAAGGCAGAGATGGTTCCTACCTTCAACAGCTAACAGCACTGCCCAATAGAAATATAATGTGGGCCACACGTGTAATCTTAAATTTTCTAGTGGCCACATTAAAAACGTAGAAAGAAACAGGTTGTTAATAATGTTTTTATTTAATCCAGTATATCCAAAATATTATCATTTCAACATGCAATCAATATTTAACAATTATTGAGACATTTTACATCCTTTTTATTGTATTCTTTACAATCCAGTGTGTACTTTACACTTTGAGCACATCTCAATTCAGGCTAGCCACATGTCACATGCTTAACAGCCATATGTGGCTGGTAGCTACATATTGGACATCTGAGGTCTAGGAGGGAAAGCAAACAAAATAAGCAAACAGAGTATTTACAAATGCTCACAATTTTCAGTGAGGGAAAGAAAAGGAGGCAGGACGAACTTTTCTTAAATAGGCAACATCTGAGCTGAGACTTGATGTATAAGAAATCCAGCTATTTAAAGAGTAGAGAGATTTCCAGCAGAAGGAACAAGACAAGCAAAAGCCCTGTGGTAGGAAGAGTTTGGCCTTCGTGACGAGCCAGTGGGACTGGAGAGGAGGGGGGCCAAGGGGCTTGAGGCTAAAGAGGGAGTGGGGAGCCAAGTGTATAGGACCGTGTATAGCCATAACTGTGAGTTTAGGTTTTTCTCCTCTGTATGATGGAAATCTGGTGGGAAAATTGAGAAAGGGAGGCCGGCCCTGTCATCCGATTTACATTTTAAGTTGGTCACTTTGGCCCCTATCCAGAGTGAATATATTAGAGGGGCAAAGCAGGGAGGCCAGGGAGGTGGTGGTGTCCTAGGACACGGCGGGAGCAGAGAAACTGGAAAGAAGGGGACAGACTTAATATTTTGGCAGCACAGCTGATGGGACTAGCAAATAGATTGGATGGGACGTAAAGGGAGGAATTCTAGGGCCATTCCCCGTTTTCCTGCCTTGAAAACCACTGTTTGTGCTACAGAAGTGAAAGCGGGACTTCATCTATTCAACAAATGTTTATTGGGCATCAAGTTATGCAAGAGAAATGATGCCAAAGATGTGCTGTCTGACTTGAGTTTCCCGGAATGCCCACCCCACAGATGGAATAAAGAAATGCTGGTGGTGGGGTCTGGAGACTAGTTCCTAGTCCTGGCCCTGGCCTTAGCAGCTCTGTGGCCCTGGGCAGGTGACCAAATGCCCCCGGATCAGTTTCCTCATCCATAAAGGGGCAATAATTAACAGTGCTTTGGACTCATATTTGGTTGTTGGGGGAATAATCAAATTGCATGTACAAAGGAACTCCATCACATTAAAAGCTCTGTAAAAACACCAGCTGTAGTTATTAGGCTTAACACATTTAATGTCTATGAACTGTTCCGCCTTCGAAAGTGTTAGCTGTGAAAAGCTCAATTTGCCTTAAATAAGTCAGGGAGAGATTGTTTTACAAAACCAGGAATATGAAGATGCTAAAATGCAGGTCTCACTTTGTCACTTCCTTGCTTAAAACCCTTCAGCGTGGTGCATTGTGGTAGGCAACATAACGGTCTCCCCAAAGATGCCTATGCTCTAGTTCCTAGAAATTGTTAATATATTACATTATATGGGAAGGGGGAATTAAGGCTGTGGATGGAATTAAAGTTGCTAATCAGCTGACCACGAGATGGAAAGATTGTCCTGGATTATTCGGGTGGGCCCAATGTCATTCCCCGGGTCCTTTTAAGTGAGAGAGGGAGGCAGGTGTATAGAGTTGGGGGGGGGATCTGATGGTAGAAACAGAGGTCGGGAGTATTATGATTGCTGGCTTTGAAGATGGAAGGGGGTCATGAGCCAAGAAATGCAGGTGGAAAAGCAAAGAAACAGATTCTCTCCTAACGCCTCCTAGGAACCCAGCCCTGCTGACACTTTATAATCTTAGCCTAGTGAAACCCACTCCAGACTTCTGACCTCAAAAACTATAAGCTCATACATTTGTGTTCTTTTAGGTCACTCAGTCTGTGGTAATTACAGCTGCAATAGGAACCTAATACACTCACCAATGCCCTTAGGAAAAAGTTCAATCTGTTTAACATCGCACGCAAGGCCTTGTGGGATCTGGCTTCTGCCTCTGTGACTTTGAGCAAATTTCTTAACTTTCGTTATTTCGTGAGTCTCAGTTTCATCATCTGTAAAATGGGGAGGAAAATCCTCTGTAGGTCTGTAATGAGATTAAATGAGAGGATGTATTTCAGGTACCTAGTAGAGAGACCGGCAACACGATCCATCATCATTATTATTATTGTCATTATTATTAATTTTTAAAGATTTTATTTATTTATTTGAGAGAGAGAGAATGAGAGATAGAGAGCACGAGAGGGAGGAGGGTCAGAGGGAGAAGCAGACCCCCCCGCTGAGCAGGGAGCCCGATGTGGGACTCGATCCCAGGACTCCAGGATCATGACCTGAGCTGAAGGCAGTCGCTTGACCAACTGAGCCACCCAGGCGCCCATCATTGTCATTATTATTATCATGGAGCAATTGACAGGGAGTTAGGAGGCCCTGGTTCTGCTCTCCTCACTAGGGCTCTGTTTCTACGTTGGTAATAAAGGAAACAACAACATAGGGGTTTGGCAGCTTCATCTCTCCCCTCCTCCCCACTTTTTCCTGGCCACTGATCTGCGTTCATTTCCACAAACATGCTTCTCTCTCCCTGATTTCCAATTTTGCACATGCCATTCCCTCCACCTGGAATGCTCTTCCCATCCCCTTTACCAGACTAACTGACCCCAGTTAAAAATGGTTAGACCCCACCGTTATGCATTCCCAAGGCATCCTAAATTTTATTTATTTATCTTGAGAGAGAGAGAGTGCAAGTGAGAAAGAGAGAGCACGAGCAGAGGGGAGGGGAGGGGCAGAGGGAGAGGGAGGAGCAGACTCCCCACTGAGCAGGGAGTCTGATGGGGGACTTGATCCCAGGACCCTAATAGGATCATGACCTGAGCAGAAGGCAGACGCTTAACCGACTGAGCCACCCAGGTGCCCTGTAGTACTGATAGTTTTTTCTTATTAGGGCAAAAAAAAAAAAAAAGAAATAATAAATAAATCCAGATAAGAATACTTTGGCTTATTGGCTTCAACTGTGTTGTTTCAGTAAAACAAAACATTCCAAATAAACTTAAAGTAGTTGAAGTTTCCTCTCCTCTCTCTTCTTCCTTCACTCTCCGTAGAGGAAACCATTGTGAATTTGGTGTTCATCTTTCTAGTCTGTATTTTTTTAAATATTAATTAATTAATTCATTCATTAATTTGAGAGAGAGAACACAAGTGGGGAGGAAGGGCAGAGGGAGAAGCTGGCCCCCCGCTGAGCAGGGGTGGGGTGGGGTGGGCTCCATCCCAGGACCCTGGGATCATGACCTGAGCCAAAGCCAGATAGTTAGCTGACTGAGCCACCCAGGCGCCCCGCTAGTCTCTATTTTTAAACTTTTAATACCAATATACCCATAAGTATCTAGAGTATACTTTCGTACGTTTATAATTATACAAATTTTAACCTTTAAAAATATTTATCATTCTACAACTCTTTTATTTTTTAAAGGTTTTATTTATTTTATTTGAGAGAGAGAACATGAGTGAGAGAGAGAGCAGGAGCAGGGGAGAGAGTGAGAGGGAGAAGCAGACTCCCCACTGAATAGGGAGCCTGATGTGGGGCTCGACCCCAGGACCCTGAGATCATGACCTGAGCCGAAGGCAGACGCTTAACCAACTGAGCCACCCAGGTGCCCTCCAACTCTCTTTTATTCATTCAACAGTAGGTTTGGGGGTATTTTTATGTTGATATAGATCTGGACCATTAATTTTTATCACTATATAGTATTTTTTTAGAATATATTCCATTTTATTAATCCATCTCATTATAAGTGGACATTTAGATTGTTTCTAGTATTTCCCATAATTATAAGGAATGTTGCAATGAAAATCCTTGTACATATGACCTATGAACGAGGATGAGAATTTCTTTAGGGAGGAATGTCACCTTGCACATTAGCTCCGAAGTGATAGTCCCTGGGCTGTGCCTATAGGATATATGCCCAGTAGTGGAATCAGGTTGTAAGTTGTGTGCATTTTCAACTTTATGAGATATTGCAAATTGCCTCCTAAAGTGTGAGTCTACCGACAGCATATAAAGATTCAGTTTCCCCATATCCTCAAAAACACTTGACTTTGAACGTGTTTTTATTTTTGTCTAGGTGATGTGTATAAAATAATATTTTATAATTATTTTGATTTACATATCTTGATGTGCTTATTGGCTCTTTGAGTTTCTTTTGCTGAAAGTTCTTTATTCATATCCTTTGTCCATTTTTCTTTTCTTTGTGAGGTGGGGTAGTCTTTTTCTTAAGAGTTTAGTTCTTTGAGTACTAGTCCTTTGTTATATATATTGCACATATTGCCTCCTAGTCTGTAGCTTGTCTTTTAAATCTTTTTTAAAAAGATTTTTATTTATTTATTTATTTGAGACAGAGAGAGAGCACATGAGAATGGGGAGGGTCAGAGGGAGAAGCAGACTCTCCGCCGAGCAGGGAGCCCGATGCGGGACTCGATCCAGGGACTCCTGGATCATGACCTGAGCTGAAGGCAGTTGCTTAACCAACTGAGCCACCCAGGCGCTCTGTAGCTTGTCTTTTAATGATCTTATATATTTATTTATTTTAGAGAGAGAGAGAGCATGAGTGGGGGAAAGAGGTAGAGGGACAAGCAGACTCCCTGCCAAGTGGGGAGCCTGACCTGGGGCTCTATCCCAGGACCCCGAGATCACAACCTGAGCTGAAGTCAGAAGCTTCACTGACTGAACCTCCCAGGTGACTTATTTATTTGAGAGAGATAGAGAGAGCAAGGCACAGGTGAGATCGTGAGGTGGGGGGAGGGGCAGAGGGGGAATGAGAGAGAGAGAGAATCTCAAGCAGACTCCACCAAGAGCAGAGCTGACTCTGGGCTCAATCCCATGACCCCAAGAGTCAGTCACTTAACCGACTGAGCCACCCAGGCACCCCAGCCCCTTTTTAAACATTTTAATTATTTATTTATGTAGCTTGTCTTTTAATTGAACCTACAATGTCTTTCGTTGTATGGCAGTTCAGATTTTGAGAGAACCACAGATTAATTTTTTCCTCTATGAGTTGTGCTTTATTAAGTCCTTGGGGTGCCTGGGTGGCTCAGTCAGTTAAGCATCTGTCTTCAGCTCAGATCATGATCCCAGGGTCCCGGGATCAAGCCCTGCATCCATCTCTCTGCTCAGTGGAGAGCCTGCTTCTCCATTTCCCTCTGTCTGCCGCTCCGCCTGCTTGTGCTCTCTCTCTCTCTCTCTCTGTCAAATAAATAAAATCTTAAAAAAGAAAGATAGAAAGCCTTCCCCACCCTCACATCATAAAATATTAGATATATATTTAAATATTTTTTCTAATAGCCTGAAATATTTGTCATATTTATTCTTTAACCTGCTTGAATTAAGCATCTATTTTTCACTCCTATGTAAAGTCAGTTTCTCAATGCCATTTACTGATTTATGATGCCATTTCTATTGTACATAAAGTTAAAACACACACACACACACACACACACACACACACACACCTGTATCTATTTCTAGGATCCCCATATTATTCCATTGATATTTGCCTCTCTTGGGTTGAGAGGGTCTCTCAAAAGTCCTTGTTGGATTTGAAAAAATACACATCTTTTTGATAGTGAGTCTTCTTGTCCATGAACATGGTATATCCCTCCATTTATTCAGGCCTTCTTTAATATCCTTCAATGTTTTCTAATTTTTCCTATGAGAATAACTACGCAAGGGCAGATACTTGTTTTTGTTCATTGCTGTATCCTCATAGAGTCAAGAATGAGGCATGCCATAAAGTAGAGGCTTAATAAGAATTTGTTGCTTAATAAAATGTCTTGCATATATTTTATTATATTCCTACATAACTTATATTTTGTTGCTATGAAACAAACAATTTTTTTTAACAGTTTCTAATAAGCTATGGTTGGCATAGATCCCAGGGCAGTGGAGAAGGGAGGCAGGGAAAGGCAGAGAGCCAATACAGGGTGCAATGACGAATAAATTGCTACTTCAGGTTACATGTAGTGGAAAGGCCGGATTGGATTTGTGTTCTTCACAAATTGGTGCTCTTCGACTGCAGTTCCAAGAATGAACTGGAATGGCTAGGGCAAGAGTGGGCACTGGCAGACTGGTCAGGAGGCTACTACAGGAGTTGAGGTGAATCCTGGCATCAAGTTGGTGCCTAAGAATTAGAGAGTGGCCGAGAAAAAGCAGAATGACCGGCCGCGTTACCAACTAACCAAATGATAAGGCGACTTAGTGAGGGACCGAGTAAGGAAACTTAGTACCATTACATTTACCAAAAGCTGAGCTTTTCAGTCTGAGCGCTCGTAGGTCCAGCGAAACGCAGCTGGAAGAGGCGCTGGGCAGCAGTGCCCTCCGAGGGCAGCCAGTCTCTGACCGGGTGCGCCCCAGGGTCGCGGAAGCGAGGGGCTGGGAGACAAAGGTGGAGCGAGTAAGGGGGTCTGGGCTGCCGCGGCGCGCCAAAGCTTTCAGAGGCTGGGATTGGACACTAGCCTGCGAACCGCGCGGAGAGGAGGGCCCTTGGCTCATCCAATCAGAGTGGCGAATCCGGGCGCCCTCCGTCGCCTCGGCAACGGGACGCGGAGGCTCTCGCGCGGCGCGGTGGCGGTTTGGGTCCGGCCCTGGGGAATCATATCATGTCGCGCCCGAAGGTAGGAGTGCCACGGGATCCAAATGCTTTCATCGTCCTTAGAGAGGGGTGGGAGGCCACAGAGGCATTCCGACTTGGGGGTCCCCGTGGAGTGATTCCGGATAGAGTGGGAGGAAAATGATGAATACAGAGAAAACACTTCAAGCCCCGGTTGGACGCGCGCCGCTGGAGGTGCTGCGCGAGTCCACCACCCGTCTCGCTGGCGGGAAAGTTACGAAAATCTGGGATTCTAAACTGTACTCAGCGATTTCTGTGACCCTGGGGGAACCTCAGAATTTTTGATTTCCTGACTTGGAAAAGCTCTTAGAGGTTACGCTCAGCCCGCCTCTCGCTTGCCTACCCAATCCAACCATTCCTAATACATTCATCCTAAAACGCTAATCAGTGCCTTCTTTAAACTGAGCCCAGTGCTGACCAATAAGGACACAGAGGTGAATCCGACAAGTCCCCGTCCTTTAAGAGTGCACGGGCCAACTCCCCCACTTTAAAATGGAAAAAAATGCTACCCAAAGAAGGGAAATGAATTACTCTAGAATCCAGCACCCCCCCAATAGCCTGCTTCTTATCCCGTGCTCTACTTCTTATGAATTGGCACCCCCATTTCTTTAGTTCCCTCTCACAACAAAAAAAACGAGTGATTCCATTGCACCCACTCAGATAATCCAGGATAATCTATTTTATAAATTCAGTTGATTATATCTGCAACCTTAATTTTCCCTTGTTATGTAACGTATTTACAGGTTCTGGGATATTAAGACATGGACATCTTTTGGGGGAGCATTATTCTGTCTACCACAATATTCTATCATCAAATAATTGGAAAATGAAATTTTAAAAATATTATTTAAAATAGCATCACAAAATCAAATACTTATGAGTAAATTTAATTTAAAACGTCCCAGACTTCTGGAAAATATTGTGGAAAGAAATTAAAGAAGACTTAAATTAATGGAGAGATAGACCATATTCATGGATTGGAAGACTCAATACTTGATGATGTCACTTCACAAAATCTATAGATTTAGTACAATCCCAATAAAATCCCAACACACATTTTTGGTAGAAACCAGCAAGCTGATTCTAAACTTTATATTGAAGTGCAAATGACCCCAAATTGCAAAGACAATCTTGAAAAAAACAAGGTTAGGGGACTTATAGTACCTGATTTCGAGATTTACTAGAAAGCTTTTATAATTAAAATAGTGTGGTAGCTGGGGCACCCAGGTGGCTCAGTCGTTGAGCATCTGCCTTCGGCTCAGGTCCTGATCCCAGGGTCCTGGGATCAAGCCCCGCATTGGGCTCCCTGCTCTGTGGGAAACCTGCTTCTCCCTCTCCCACTCCCCCTGCTTGTGTTCCCTCTCTCACTGTGTCTCTCTCTGTCAAATAAATAAATAAAATCTTTTAAAAAAAGTGTGGTAGCAACATAAGGGTAGACAAATAAATAAATAAAACAGAGTCTAGAGATAGACCTACATATACACAGTCAACTGAATTTTAACAGAAGAACCAACGCAATTCAGTGAGGACAGGAAAAGTTTTCCTATTCTTTTTTATTTTTTAAAGATTTTATTTATTTATTTGTCAGAGAGAGAGCACATGCAAGGGGAGCAGCAGGTAGAGGGAGAAACAGGCTCCCTGCTGAGCAAGGAGCCCGATGCAGGACTTGATCCCAAGACCCTGGGATCATGACCTGAGCTGAAGGTAGACACTTAACTGACTGAGCCACCCAGGTGCCCCAGGGAAAAGTTTTTCAACCAAAGACTGGATAAACATAAGGAAAATAGAACTGAAAACATGAAAGAGTATAAAAGATATAATCAAAAAAGAAAAGGACACCTTACTAGTGCTGGGGTAGTTGGAGGGACTTGAATGTACCACTGGGATAAGAGTTCATGTGCTTACTGAGGGTTCTAGAGGGGAGGGTGGTGGGGGGATGGGTTAGCCTGGTGATGGGTGTTAAAGAGGGCACGTATTGAATGGAGCACTGGGTATTATACGCAAACAATGAATCATGGAACACTACATCAAAAACTAATGATGTAATGTATGGTGATTAACATAACATAATAAAATTAAATTTAAAAAAAGTTCACGTGCTTTTGTAGGGGGCTAATTTCTGTCAGTTTCATAAAGTAGTATCCTCTATCCCTTCTACTGGCTCTTTGAGGGATAGGATGGTGTGGTAGGCAGAATTCTAGAAGGCCCCCAAGATTCCCACCGCTTGTGTACACACCTTGCATAATTCCCTCCCCTTGAGTCTGGGTAGAGCCTGTGAATTTGATGGGATAGTTACTACCATGATTATCTACCATGCATCATATAGGACTCTATTGTGGCTGACCTGGAGTGGGGAGGGTTGGAAGTCAGAGGGATGAGCTCCTGTTGGCCTGGAGGAAAGCAAACATCCATGTTGTGAACTGTCTAGGGGGCCATGTTGAAAGGAACTGCAGGGGACCTCTAGTTGCTGAGAGCAGTCACCGGTCAAGAGCTAGTAAGTAAACAGGGACCTCAGTCCTGCAACCCTGAGCAACTGAACTCTGCCAACAATCTGGATGATCTTGGAAAAGGACCCCAAGCCCATGCATGAGAATCATAACCCAGGCCATCACCTTGGTTGTAGCCTTGTGAGACCTGGCCAGAAGATCCAGCTAAGCCATGCCCAGGATCCTGGCTCACAGAAACTGCAAGACATAAATTTGTACTATTTTAAGCCGCCAAGTTTGTGGTAATTTGTTATGCAGTAATAGAAAACTAATGCAGATGACAAGTCTGTCCAAGTTGCAGTGGTCATCCTGCACAAGACCAATTTTGATTTCTTTTTTCATACCTGCCATTAGGGATCAGTCTTACCAGGACTAAAGACCAAACTGTTTTAGACGTGGTAGAAGCAAAATAATACCCACCCCCCAACCCCCATTGAGGATTTGAAAGGTCCATTTTGGGTGAAGAAATTAACTCCACTCTGAGTGTTTGAACCATTCCCCTTCTGGACCATGGATCTAATCAAACATTCAAGTTTCAGTTCCTTCTCACAGAGCTGGCTGAGCTCAGCCCTCAAAACTGGGGTTCAGGGTTGGACCTTTGGAGCACTGAAAACTAGGTATTCACTCTACTGGTCATGCCTGTGGAATAATCTTATGAAGTGGGGCGATTTGATACCTTGAATACTTGGTGGTTTATTCCAAGGACCAAGCTGCTGGGCACATGTTGACCAATGTGAACTTGGCCAGGCTGGTCCTTCACGCCTAAGGATCTGGGCAGTGTGGTGTCTGATGGTTTGAGCATTTTAATATCTGCAGTAAATTGAGCTGGGAAGGCAGGGTGGATATGCAGAACCAGTTACATCGCTTTTCTTTTCTCCTTGCAGAATCAAAATTACAAGGGCCATGGACTGTCAAAGGGAAAAGAGCGGTGAGTGGCCCCACGCAATCTAATAAACACAGAACTAATTTCCTTCCTTCCTCCCTCCCTTCCTTCCGTCCTTCCTCCCCTTTATCCAGCTCCGCATCACTGAGCACTTACCATGTGCCAGGCTGTATTATCTCCTTGAGTCCATATCACAATCCTTTAAAGTACATACTACTATTGGGTCCATTTTGCAGGTGGGGAAACTGAAGCTCAGAGAGGCGAGGGAACTCGCTCCCGACTGTAGGATCAGTTAGTGGCAGAGCTTGCTGGGCTCCAGGGCCCATGTTGCATCTACCTATGCCCTCCTGCCTCCTTCAACAACCATGTGATGACTTGATAACTCCAATGTCAACTCTGCCCCGATCCTCTGCTTCCCTCTGTGGCAGTAACCCAGGTGCAGAACTCAGCACCTCGTCGGATCCCCTAAATGGAATCCACTAGCACAGAGCAGGAGGGAGCAACGCAGACTGGACTGACGTTTTTTGTGGGGAGTCAGAGGAGGTTACATCACACATGCTGTAGCACATATTTTAGATATTTCTATTCTATTTCATTAGATATTTCTCTGCTTTCTAAAGTTGCTTCTGGCTGCACCACCACCGAGGAGGGCACGTGTGGTCTCTGACCCTTCCGTCGTGCGGCACCCATCAGAGCAATGCAGCGCTATTCTAGACGCTGACCCTAAACTTAAACACCCACTCCCACCCCAACCAAAAAAAGGGCACTTCAGTTAACAGGATCTGTTTTAGTAGGATAGACACCCATTAGAAATGTGTTTAACTACAAGCAGTAGGAAACCCAACTAATAGCAGCTTTAAAAAACTTGTATTAACTTTCCTCATGTAACAAAGAGCCTGGAGGGCTGGTGCAGTGGTTCAACTCAGTCAGAGTTGTGTCTCCGTGACGGTCCTGACCTTTTCCCTATGGACACCAAGTAGCTGCTATAGCTCCAGCCTTCATGGCTAGATCAAGACAGGAAGAAGTGGGGGAGGAAGTCTCAAGCCACATCTCTTTCTCTCTTTATTTTAATCAAAAGAAGAACCCATGCTTTCCAAGAATGCACCTTCTTCAGCAGTCGTATGTTTTTATCTTACGGAATTGTGTGACATGGACCCCCCAGGCTGCATGAGGCTAGGACTATAAGTTACATGGGTGAACGTTATACTATTATTATTCTGCGTGCTGTTTATGTCACACAAGGCTGTATTTTCAGCATTTATCCGTGTTGGTGCATGTAGATCTGGATACATTTTAACTACTATATGTGTTCCATTGTATACCACTAGTTATTTATCTACTTCCTGTTGAAAGGCCTTTCGGTTGTGTCTTAGTATTGATTCCCACCAGAAGCAGACCCTGAGCAGTTTATTTGGAAGGTTGGAAGGTGATTCCAGTAAGCATTGGCAGGGAAGTGGAGACGTGAGACAGCTAAGGGAGAGAAACCAATAAGAGGTGCATTACCGACAGGTTATTGCGGTGGGCAGGTGGGCTCAGTCCCACGGGGGATTCCTAGGAGATAGTGCAAAACACACTGCATACTCATCCCAACTGAGCGATGAGGGGCTGGAAGATTTATCCGTCAACTCGAGTTGTCATTAGTTGTGTGCTGTTAGGGAAGGGGCACTTTGGATTTGCTTTAAGCACTGGCTGAGCAGACTCTGGGGACCAGAAAAAGCCCTCAGGCAAAGAGCTGCAGGTGCTGGCAATGGAAGACCCTCTGACTTGCACAGGAATGGAGAATGCCTAGGGGACAAGGGTGGACCACCAACTGTGTGCTGCAGGGGTTATTTCTATAAAAAAATATTAATAGTTACAAAACGAGCATCCCTGTACATATAATGCCCAGTTGCATATGTGGGGTATCTATCTAGAGTATAGAGCTAGGATGGAACTGCTGGGTCTAGAGTCTGTGCAAATTCAATTTTACTAAGTACTGCCATGTGGTTCTCTGGAGTGCCTTCTACCAGCACAGGAAGAGTTTCCAGTTTTAGCACATTGTTGCCAAACTTGGACTTTTAGATTTTTGCCAGTCTAATGTGTATGAATAGTACCTGACAGTTTTAATAAGCCAAATTGCTCTCTAAAGATTTATCCAATTGACAGTTCCATCAGCATTATAGGGTAATTATCATTTCCATGTTCTTGCGAACACTTGGTGTTTGTCTGATTTTAAACATTTCCCCCAATCTGATGGATTTTGAAATTGTATCTCTTCATTGTTTTGGATTAAATTTTAAATACTCCTGACTTTACTACTTTAGAGCAGTGGTTCTTAAAATTTGAGCTCAGGATCTCTTTACTACTAAAAAATTATTGTGGACTCTTACTAATTTTTGTGTGGCTTGTATTTATCAATATCATATTAGAAATTTAAAATGATAAATTAAAAATATTATTAATTCATTTAAAAAGCAACAAGGTACTCTACCTGGTAGCATAAATAATGTATTTTTTATGAACTTATAACTGTGTTCTCCCTCCTGCATTACTAAGATGAGTAGTCATTGTTTTTACATTTTTGTGAATTTCCTTGATGTCTGGCACAATATAAAACATTTGGCTTCCTAAATCTTCTGGATTCACTCTGTTGTGATAGGTTGTTTCAGTTGAAGAATAGGAAGAATATCCAGCCTCACAAAGATATGTAGTTGGGAAAGGGAGGCCTTTGTGAACCCCTGAAGACCCCGAGGAATACTGGGACCACCCATCAAGAACCGCTATTCTAGGGCATTACAATATGCACCCTTAACTCATCACTGTCTACACTGAATCAATATTATACCACTTCCCACACAACCTAAGAACCCTAGAACAGCATGCTCTGTTTACTCCCCTCTGGTCCTTTGTGCTGTTATTTTTGTCATGTATTTAAACACTGAAGAAAGTTCTTTAAGCTGAAGGAAAATTATACCAGATGGAGATTCAGACCTACAAAAGGAATAATGTGTGGAGAGAGGGAAAGAGAGACTGATTTTCCAGAGACTGTAAGCCCTTTCCTCTGACTAGTGGTTAGGGTGGGGGCTGATCATTGGATTCCTCCTAAAGCTGAGTAGAACATGGGCTGGACTGAAGCTTTAATTCCGCTGAGTTCGCTCCAAGCCCAGCCTCCTGTACTGCTGTTTTGATCTTTTGCCCTGGGAGGGGGCTGGACGGCCGTTTGGTTTTTGTTTGTTTGTTTATGGTTTTTTGGATCACTTTTGGATTCAACTCTGGCAGGGCTGCCCAAATACACACACCACATCAATGTGCAGGAATATGGGTTTTCTTTCTGCTTTACTGTGTTCTCTACTGCTTCTTTCTTTTTTTTATTTATTTTTTATTTTATTTATTTTTTATTAAAGATTTTTATTTATTTATTCATGAGAGACAGAGAGAGAGAGGCAGAGGGAGAAGCAGGCTCCCCGCTGAGCAGGGAGCCCGATGCGGGACTCGATCCTGGGACTCCAGGATCATGACCTGAGCCGAAGGCAGTCGCTTAACCAACTGAGCCATCCAGGTGCCCCTCTACTGCTTCTTTCTTAAGCAAATTTGCCACAATGTTGTTTTGGTTTGGTTTGGCTTGGCTTGGTTTGGTTTTGGAAGGGGTTCTTCCAGATTTTGATTTGGCTGGCCACCCTAGTATTGTCTAAGCTCAGCTGCTTTCCCCTGGTGCCTGCAAAGTCTCCCCTCCACGGCTGGCTCATTCCTCCACCTGCCCGCCCTCAGACACCACCCCCCCCAAGACCTAGAAACTGACGCATCTCTCTGCTCCCCAACGAAGGGCTCCTTTCTCTCTGGAATCATTTGGTTACGTTTCCTTTTGTCCATTGTTCTCCACTAGCCCCATAGTCAAGTGTGATATTTATTTTGTACATTTTTTCCCCTTGTTGTTTTACATCCTTTTATGTTGTAACCTGTAGCAGAAATCTTCTCCTTGGTATTTTAGTTTACTGTGTTGTTGGGAAGGTTGAGTATCTTTTCACATGCATACTGGTAAGTTTCCTCTGCTGTGACTTGCCTGTTCATATCCCCTAGGCATTTTTTTTTTCCTTAGGCATTTTTCTATTGAGTTCTTTGTCTTTTTCTTAATGATTTGTAGGAGCTCTTTTTGTACTTGGTCCTAATGTCTTATGGATTGTAAGCATTGCAAATATTTTATCTTAATCTATAGCCAGTCTTTTAACTTTATTTGTGGTATATTTTGTTACAGAGTTCTGTTGTGTATGCAGAAAGGTGCATACATCATAAGTTTACAGCTCATGAATTTTCATCAACTTAATATGCAGGAAACAGAACAGCCCCAACACTCCAGAATGCCATTCATACTCTCTTCCAATCGTTCCCCCACAAAAGTAGCCATTATCCAGACTTCTAAAGATATGTTACGTTTTTTTATTTATTTTTATTTTTATTTTTTTAAGATTTTATTTATTTATTTGACAGAGAGAGACACAGCGAGAGAGGGAACATAAGCAGGGGGAGTGGGAGAGGGAGAAGCGGGCTTCCCGCGGAGCAGGGAGCCCGATGTGGGGCTCAATCCCAGGACCCTGGGAGCATGACCTGAGCTGAAGGCAGATGCTTAACGACTGAGCCACCCAGGCGCCCCTGTTACATTTTTTTAAATTAGATATTGACTTTGAGATAATTGTGGATTTGTATGCAGTTCTAAGAAATAATACAGTGAGATCCCATGTGCCCTGTACTTGGTTCCCCTCAATGGTAACAGAGAATAAAACTATATAGCACAGTATCACAACCAGGATACTGACATCCCTAAGGAAAATTCCCACCACTACAAGGATCCCTCATATGACCCTTTCTCTTAAAAAGATATTATTTATTTGTTTGACAGAGAGAGAGACAGCTAGAGAGGGAACAGCAGCAGAGAGAGTGGGAGAGGGAGAAGCAGGCCTCCCGCCGAGCAGGGAGCCCGATGCGGGGCTCGATCCCAGGACCCTGGGATCATGACCTGAGCTGAAGGCAGACGCTTAACTGACTGAGCCGCCCAGGTGTCCCCCAGTTTGTGGCTATTATTAATAAAGCTGCTACGAACATCCCTATACAGGTTTTCGTGTGATCCTGAGCAAGCGTTCCGTTGCTTTGTCTTGCAGAGAGCAGAGAGCATCAATCCGATTCAAGACCACTCTCATAAATACTCTCATGGATGTCCTTCGCCACAGGCCAGGATGGGTGGAAGTAAAGGAGTAAGACACCTCCCCACCCCTGCCAGCCTCGTCCCTTCTTCCCTTTGCCTCACAGATCCTTGTCTCCCTCTGTTTTCTCCCAGTTGCCTTCGGTGGCTACTGGGACTTGTCCCAATTTGGCTGTGATAGGGACCAAGATTTATTTAGCACTCAAAATGTGCCAGGCGCCTTACGGACACCCTCTGTCTTATTTAAGCCTTACAACCATCCAGCAAGATATGATTATGTTCAGAGGTATTAAGCCAATCGTTGAAGGTCATACAGCATGTAAGGGTCAAAGTGGGGTTCACACCCAGTTCAGCTGGACTGTTCCATAGCCAGTGTCCTAGAGCTCTCTGGAAAATCAAGGAATGCAGCCATCACCCACTAGCTGGCTTGAATCCTCCACTGATGGCAGGTCCAGGTCAAGGGCTGCTTTTCCCTGGCCACTTACTGGTTCTGTGACCTTGAACAACTTACTTGACCCCAAGCCTACATTTCTTCTTCTCTGCTGAGCCCTGGGGATACTGAGATGAACAAGCATCCAATGCCCAGCACATAGTAGGTGCTAATATAAGTTAGGGTTAAGGTTTGGATGCATGTAACAGAGACCCAAAGTAAAAGAGGCTTTGACAGACTAGAAGTTTATTTATCTCTCCCATTGAAGTCCAGATGTAGGAAGTTCAGAGATGGTATAGAAATCTGGATCCATCCGCTTCCATCTTTCCATTCTGCTATCACTTGAGTGAGGCCCTTGTCCTCACGGTCTAAGGTGAAGCTCCAGCCTTACATCCAGAGTCCAAGCCACAGTCGGTAGGAAGGAGGCAAGAAAATGCATGCCCTGCCCTTGAAGAACTCAGCTAGAAGTGTCTCACGTTGGCCAGAACTTAGCTTAGCTGCAAGAGAATCTGGAAAATGTAGTCTTTATTTTGGAGAACGCAGATGACATTTTCCCAGGTAAATGTCGGGAATTCTGGTACTGTAGAAAAAGGTGAAAATAGATATGAGGGGTGAGGGCAACCAGCTGCCTTGACATGGTGCTCGGGGAATATTGTTGCCTAACAGTAGCTAAGCCTATTGGACGCTCTTGAGCACTTTACATGCATGACCTCTGAATCATTGAGCAGACCTTCTGGGAGGTGCTGTTATCATACCCATTTACTGAAAGTGGGAAAGCTGGATGCAGAAGAGTAAAAACTGCCATGTTTGAGGCCACTCGACTTGTCAGGGCTTGGGCTAGGACGGCACCTGGTCAGTCTGTGTGCGGAGACCCAGGCTCATCTCCACCCTGTTCTCGCAGCCTCTCCGTGAATGAGGGAACAAGTAAGTGAGTGGGGGAATCCATGGTTCCCACTGCCTGGTACTGGAGTCCAGTCTCATCCACACGGGGCTTCAGTTACAGCTGTAGTTTTGTACTTAAGAAGGAGTTGGAAGCAGTCATGGCGGCCTTGTTTTATTTCCCGCCACGTAGTTTGCAAGCGCTTCCTCTCGGCCCCACAGCTGTGCCATCAGACTGGGGAGATTAGCCTGCTTTCCTGTCCCTCTCCTTAGTGTGGTGGTGAAGAAGCAGGTCGGAATTTGGAGCTGGGCAGGCCTGGGTAGGAAACCTGGTGCTGCCAGGGCCTTGGTGAACAGGGTCATCTTTGTCTGGGGGCTCTAGGGATGATTGTTGTCACCTTTTGAGGCTGCTCTGAGGAGTCCGCGGGAGGAGGGCTTTGGGGGAGGGGGGGTGGGCAACAGAGATGCTTCCAGCACCCAGGCAGGTAGCATGACCAGGTGAGGCTGGCTGGTTGTCGTGGGCCGTGGGGGGCATTGGGGACTGTGACCTGGCGGGGGCGTCCCTGTCTAACTTGGCGGCAGCTCCTCCCTCCAGCTGACAGGTGCCAGGGGGCATCAGGGCTCCATGCGACTGCTCTGCTGGTTGTTCAGAGGAGGCCAGCAGCCTGGATTTGTGCAGGAACATCTCTCTGGTTTTCACTCTGGCCTCACAGAGCCCGTTGTGGGCAGCCACCCGCCCGAAGACTCCTCTTGAACACACTGCTGCCTGCCCCCCTCGGGTGCACCTCCCTGGGCCCCAGACCCCCGGCAGTGCTGAGGGCCTCGGCTCGTGACCTTTGTCCCCCCCCCCGCCCCCGCAGTGAAGGGGAGTGGGATTTCTACTGGTGTGACGTCAGCTGGCTCCGGGAGAACTTTGACCACACCTACATGGACGAGCACGTGCGCATCAGTCACTTCCGAAACCACTACGAGGTGAGCTGGGGCAGCTGGGGCACTGAGTCGGCCAATTCGTGTCACTGGATGTGGCAACGAGCAGGCGTGGGAGTGCAAGAGCCAGCATGGAAAAGTGGAAGAGAATGTGGGGCACGTGACGGGTGCGGGACACATGCACAAGATACACGGGGAGCTAAAGAGTGTGAGAGAGTGAGGGTCTGGTACCTGAACGACAGGCTGCCTTGGGCTGGGGACTGAGGTCACAGTCTGGTTGGCATTTCAGCCCTGGGGATGGGCGGGGCAAGGGCCGAAGGAGCCGTAAGGTGACTTCAGGGGAGAGGCTTGAGCAACTGGGAGTCTAGCGATGGGAGGGAGGTCCGGGGGGGGGAAGCAGACCACAAAGATGGGACCGGAGGAGCCAACAGTGCTGAGATTTGAAAAGGTTAATGCAGCTTAGCAGTTAGAAACATGAACTTGGGAGTCAGACAGGCCCGGGTCAAATCCCGGCTGCGCCTCTGTTAGCTGGGTGACCCTGGGCAGCTGACTTAACCTTTCTGAGCCTTGGTTTTCTGGCCTGTAGAGTGGGGATCACTAGAGAACCACAGGCTCTCAGAGTTACTCTCACCATGACTGTTACTTGGCGCACCTGAGGCTGTGGGGGCAAGCTGGGTGGTTGGGGCTGGGAGCTGGAGCAGGACAGTGGGCACAAGCACTAACGGCCTGCTCGCCCACCTGCTGCCCAGCTGACGCGCAAGAACTACATGGTGAAGAACCTGAAGCGGTTCAGGAAACAACTGGAGCGCGAGGCCGGAAAGCTGGAGGCAGCCAAGTGCGACTTCTTCCCCAAAACCTTTGAGATGCCATGCGAGTACCACCTGTTCGTGGAGGAGTTCCGCAAAAACCCGGGAATCACCTGGATCATGAAGCCTGTGCGTGCCCAGTGCCGGGAGCAGGGGGAGGGGGTGGTGAGAGGGAGGGCCTCCTGGGCACCAGACAGAGCAGGGATCCCTCGCGGCACATCCCAGGACAAAATTCTGCCTGGCAAGTCAGCCTCAGATGCACCATCCGCCTCCCCCAAGCCCCCGAGGGCTGACTTCATTTCCTCCTCGCAGTGTGTGGACCCAGCAGCTATGACAGCACACAGTAGGTGCTCAATGCATGTTTCCTAGCTGAACGAGTGATCCTCAGGACACCAGGGCAGGGAATCCTGAGGCTTGCTGGAGCTCAGATCTCCCCTCTCTTCCTGACAGGAGAGGAACCGGTGGCGGCCAAGCCGTGCCAAGCACTTTACCTGCGCTGCCCGGTTCTCAGGATGGCCCTTGGGAGGAGCTATGACCTCATTTTAAAGATGAGGAGACCGAGACCCATGTATTCAGACCTTCCGTAAATACTCGCTGAGCACTTGCCACGTGCCAGGCATAGACCTAGGCGCTGGGGACGCAGCCCTCAGCGAGTTGGAAGTGGGTCTCCGCCTTCCTTGGGCGCAGGCAATACAGAGGACACCTGCGTGCGTGCGTGGAGCTGTGCTAAGTGTAGAAACAGTAGGAGGCTCCCCGCTGCCCGGCAGGCTTTTCTGAAGGGAGACTGGGCTCCGAGGCCAAACCCCTTCCTTCAAATTCTGCCTGTACCACTTACTAGCTGTGTGACCTCAGGCCGACTACTTAACTTCTCTGTGCCCCAGTTTGCCCATCTGCAAAGTGACATGGCAGTACCTGTCTCATAATGCTGTTGTGTGACTGAGTTACCACAGGCAGAGCACAACATGAAGCACTCCGTAAGGGACCGCTGCTGTTGTTGCTATTGTTATCAAAAGAATTAGTACTTCAGGCTGTGGCCTGAAGGATGCAGAGGGTCAGCCTGGAGGGCACAGGTGGCAGAGTACCCACCAGCCCCTCGGTTCTTCCTCGTGCCAGGGCTGCTTTCTCACCGCAAAGCCACCAGAGCCTTGAATGGGCATCAGCAAAGCCCCCTACTATTTCCCGGGCTTGGGAATGTGCCAGGCCCCAGGAAGGGAGCTGTGGGGAGCAGAGTACAGGGCAGCCCTTCCTTGTGCAGCTGGGCACTAGGGCCAGTGTTGGCCAATGCACAGTCAGTAGCACAGGTCCTCGGAAGGCAGACGAAAACCACGGATGCTCCCAACTGGGTCCCAGGCAGCGTTTACCGGGGCCTCCCGCTCCTGTCCCTGGTGAGGCCTGCTGGGAGGCTTGCATCCCCTTCTCTGCAGCCAGAGCGGAAGGGGTTAGGCAGCCAAGAACTGCAACCCACGGGGCGGTTCCAGCTCCCAGCGTTATCCTCCCAGACAAATGGTAATTTGTGCTAATTGGAAAGAGCAATCGCATATTAAGTTGATTCCTTTCCCAGCCCACGGCCTTTGTTAGAGGCAGACACAAGACGGCTGTAATTAAGAGGCGGCATCTTGGCTGCGTGCGTGCGTTCTTGCCCCTGCAGAGCTGCAACACCCTGTCTGGGGTATGGGGTGCAGAGAGTGGGTGCTCTGGGCTTTAACTCTGTCCCCGATGCTTATGAGCCGGCTGACCCCAAGCAGGTTTCAGCCCCTCTAAGTCTGCATCCTCATTGTAGGTAAAGTGCAATTAACAAGTGTACCTACCTGCCAGGGTTGGGAGAGAATCCAATGAAGGATAACATGTTATATACGTGAGTTATACAAGTTATATAAAGGGCTTGGCACTTAGGTGTCCAGTCATTGACCATCTTTGCTGTGATTTCCAAGAGTCCAGGCAACACCTTCTCTCCCCCTGCCCCTGGAAAGCACTAGGTCAGTGCTTCCCAAACCCACCATGTGCCCACAATCAGCGGGCATCTTGTTCAAGGCAGAGGCTGATTCAGCAGGTCTGCGTAGGGCCTGAGAGTCCACATTTCTAACCAGCTCCCAGGTGAGGCCTTTGCCGCAGGTCCGTGGACCACACTTTGAGGACTGAGACTGTAGAGGAGTAATTCTCAAACCTGAGAGTGCATCAGAATTTTCTGGAGAGCTTACTAAAGCCCCTCCTCCATCCCTCAGTGTCTGATTCAGTAGGCCTGGGGTGGGGGCTAAGAATTGCGTTTCTAGCAAGGTCCCGGATATAGCAGCCAGGGTTCTCCGGAGCAACAGAACTGTGAACCACTGGGCTAGAGTATTAGGTGGTGCAAAATCAGTCGACAAGTCCTGTTGTTTGGATTCCTTTGGGGTAGGGAAAATGTAAAAAACAAACAAAACAAAAAAATAGGACGTTACTTCACATTTAGAAAATAAAGGGAAAAAATCCCAAATCCCTCCACTCTTCCCACAAGGCCTGTCTCTGTGAGATGGGCTGTCCTTGCACACCCACACACACGAGTTTTCACATAGTTGCTGTGGTGGGGCCAGTGAAGGCAGCCACTGGCCTGTCTTTTCCCTCCGGCGCCTCCTCTGCACGGTCCCCTAGGGCCTGCTGAGTCTGCATCTTCCTCTTTAGTGGAAGCAGAGCAGGGGCAATGAGGGAGTGAGTTGGACTCAGAAAGGAATAAGCAGCATCGTCCCCTCTGTGCCACCCTCAGCGACCCCTCTTCCCACGGAGCCTGAGCCCCAGCCCATCTCGGAGCTTTGCTATCACTCTGAGTGTAAGAACAAGCCCCTGGGTTTGCCATTTAAAAGCCCAGGTGATGTAAAAATTGCATCGATCCAAACTTCTTTTCTATCTGACCATTCTCCCCTCCCACCAGCTCAGGCCCTTTGGGTGGGCGGGAGGTTGGTAGGACCCAGACCGTGGGACCACGCTTGCTTGTCTAGCCTCCCTCACGTGACTGGGGGGCAGGTGCTGGCTGTCAGGGCCCAGGCCTGTCCATCAGTCCTGGGGCCTGTCCATCAGTCCCTCTGTGTCTGCAGATCTGGTTTAACATTTCACTCAAGGCCGTGAGCATCCAGGGCAACCACTAGGCCGCTCCCAGCTCTGGGGGCCTCTGTCTAAATTGCAGGACGGGAAGAATAGAATTTTACCTTCTGTTTTTCAAGTTTACCCCACCAGAGCTTCTCAGACCTTTTCACTGCAATCTTCAAAGAGTCGGGGGGTGCTTTGGGCAGCACAGAACAGAAGCCCCGACTAATGGGAGCTCAAACAAGAGGGCAGGGGCTCGTCTTGGGTCTCTTGGGCATCTGGTGAAAATCGTGTTTCACACTGTCACAAAAGAGTGTTTTTAAAAGGATAAAGTAATTTGATTATAAAAGGAAGTAACTATATTGAAAAACAGTTATCAAACAAACAGTTAGTGGGTCCTCTGAGAAACAGATGCCAAGGCAAGATCGAATGTGCGGGGAGTTTTGCCTGTAAGGAATGGGGGGAGGGAATGGGACAGGGGCTGGGACAGTTGTCAGACCCAGTGAGGGAGAAAGGGAAGGAAGAGAAGCACCTAGAGGCCTGGGTGAGGCCTCCGGCCAGAGGAGGTCCCCTGTCTCCCAGGAGTGGGCCAGGCTTCCTGTCTACGCGGTCCTGGGTCAGCTGGTCTGTGGCAGGAGAAGCTCCTGCAGGCGAGGCCAGGCAGGCACTGCACCACTGGCTGCCAGTCTGGCAGTCAGCATGGTCCTGCCGTTAGAGACCAGAGAGAGCCTCACACGACCACCACACACACTACGAAACGTTCTTGATGCCGTAGAAGTTTCATTCACAGCTGAAGAGAGTCTAACAGCAGGCCCATAGTTACCATAATTTCAAAGTCATAATGAGCATAAACAATATTTTGAGATATCTGCAACCACCGTAATGTGATATAAAAATAACAGATTTCTTCTGAAAGTAAAGTCACAGGCGTGGCTAATACTACTACGGTATGTTGTCCACATTCATAATGGAAGGCAATGGGAAAATCTGGTTAGGGTGAAAAATGTTCTTCTCATTCAAGTTTACGGACACCAGGACATTTCCTTTAATCATGAAAGGTCAGTTCCAGGAACGACTCAACAACCTTGGTGGGCAGCTCAACAGCATCATCAATTCCCACCCCAGTGGGCTGGCTTCTCCTCTCAGTCACAACGTGGCTGCCACACCTTTAGCTTCGCCTCCTCACCCCTTCACCTGCCGCAGGAATAAACGAACACCCTGGTCTTGTGTCCCTTTTGAAGAAGACACGAACTTCCCAGAGGTCACTGCCGCAGACCTCCCCTGGTACCTGCTGGCCCGCGCCCGAACAGTCACGTGGCGGCAGGGGCGTGGGAGCCCCGGGAGGGCTCAGACTCCCAGGGGGGCAGGACCACCGGGAAGAGGTGATCCAGATGGGGTTCTTCTGGGGGCGCCTGGCTGGCCTAGTTGGTGGAGCATGTGATTCTTGATCTCAAGGTTGTGAGTTTGAGACCCACGTTGGGGGTAGAGCTTACATTAAACAAACAACAAGGAAAAAACAAATGGGGTTTTGTTGGCAGAGAAAAAGGGAATTTTTTTCCCTGCTCAGGGTAGCTGAGTAGACCACCAACCCCATGGGTAACACCCAGTGAATGCCACGTGATGAATGGCCCCCAGGGGCAGGACAGGCAGTGGCAGCGGCGGGTCGAGGGCCCTGGGTGGCCGCAGGTGGTGCAAAATCAAAGTATGGCTCATTTTCATAATCCATTCATATTATTTTCCAATTGATTTATCTTTTTAGAAAAATAATATGTTTTACTTCCAAATTATCAAGTAAGATCGATACTCCCAGGAGTCGACCATGTCTGTCGTGTGATTCTGTGTACTCCCTGGCACTTTGCGGAAGGTGCATGAGCCTCAGGCTTGTGAAGCACAGTTTTAACTACCTGGGTTTGTCACCTGCTGGTTGGGTAACCTTGAACAGAGTGCTTGGCCTTGTTCCTTGGTTTCCTTGGCTGCAAAACGGGGATAGTATTAATGCCTACGTAGAGGATTTTTTGGTAAAGCTTTCACGAGGTCAGGTGCGTAAATCTTGGTGCCTGGCATGTAGGAAACATCTGCTGTCGTTATAAACCATTCCCCTAATGTTAGTGTCCGCGTTCTGTTGCTGCACCCCAAAACTCAGTGGCTGGAAACAAAAGTTATGTCTTATTTAACCCCTGAGCCTCCAATTTGGGCAACACTTGCCAAGGAAGACTCCTGGCTGCTCCAGCGTCTACTGGGACGGCTCCCATGAGGGCTGGAGGATTCGCTTCCAAGCTGGCTCACTCACTCGGCTGGCAAGTCGGTGCTGGCTGCTGGCTGGGAGCTCAGCCAGGGTGGAGGGCTGGAAGACTCAGTTGCCTTCCGTGTGGGCCTCTCCATATGACCTGAGCTTCCTCCCAGCATGGTGGCTGGGTTCCAAGGGCAACCATCCCCCAAAGAGAAAGCTGTATGGATGCTGTATTGCCTTGGATGACCCAGCATTGGAATCCACACAACATCACCCCTGCCATCTGCGATCAGTAGAGACAGTCCTAAATGCTCGCCCAGATTCAAGGGGAGGGCACATCGACTTCACCTCTTTGTGGAGGGTCGGGTGATGGGGGTAGCAAGGTTCCGGAAAAACATATGGGACTGGAAATATTTTTGTGACTCTTTTTGCAAACTACAATCTGCTGGAGCTAGATAGTAGGTGATTTCCCAGTCTTAAAAACCCTGATATTATCACCAAGCAGGAAGTTTATTTTCCACTCTTGAGGATTATTCCCTTAGAAAGGCATCTCCTGGAACAGGCATGTTTGCTAACATACTAACAATGTTTTATTTATTTTTATTTTTTATTTTTTAAAATATTTTATTTATTTATTTGACAGAGGGACAGTGAGAGAGGGAACGCAAGCAGGGGGAGTGGGAGAGGGAGAAGCAGGCTTCCCATGGAGCAGGGAGTCCGATGCGGGGCTCCATCCCAGGACCCTGGGATCATGACCTGAGCCGAAGGCAGCCGCTCAATGACTGAGCCACCCAGGCGCCCCAGTAACAAACAATGCTTTAAACAATAGAGGCGTTTTATTACCTCCTCTAACAAGAAAGCCAGAGGTAGGAAGTTCCAGGTTTGGGGATGGGCTCAATGATACCGTTAAAAGCCCTCCGTGTGTTGGTTTTCTGCCATCAGAGGTGTCACTGTGTCACACCATGTGTGACAGCTCTAGACCTCACCTCCTCAGACTGTAGCATTCAGAGAGAGAAGGAAAGGAGCCAGGCATCTCTTCGTCTCTCTCTCCCTCCAGCTCTGGCTCCCTCCCTCCCTCTCTCCTCCTCCGCCTTGATCCTGATATTTTTAACAAGGAAGAAAGTCATTCTTAGAAGCCCCAAAGCCCTAAGCAGACGTCTCTGTAGGTCTCGCTGGCCAGAACTAGTCATGTGGTTCCCAAGAGCTGCAAGAGAGGCTGACAGAACAGGTGTGTGGTCCTCCCAGCCTCCGTGTGAGAGGTTGGCTCTACGGCCAGAGAGAGGGAAGGGAATGACTGTAGGGAAGGCAGCCCACCAGGGTGGGGGTGGGGGCTCCCAGATCAAAAGGCAGGAGGCTTGGGGCACCTGGGTGGCTCAGAGGGTTAGGCATCTGCCTTCAGCTCGGATCATGATCCCGGGGTCCTGGGATCGAGCCCCGCGTCGGGCTCCTTGCTCCGCGGGGAGCCTGCTTCTCCCTCTCCTCATGCTCTCTCTCTTTCTCTCTCTCTCTCTTTCTCTGTATCTCTGTGTCTCAAATGAATAAATTAAAAAAAAATCTTAAAACCAAAAAAACAAAAGGCAGGAGCCTTAATAAAACTTCTCAATTGAAGTTTAGTAAACAGAATATGTCCGAGTTATGGGGGCACAGCTTGGTAAATTTTCTGGAGGTGAGCACACTTGAGTAACAAGCACCCAGGCCATAGACAGCGCTGGCCGGCCCCTGGGCAGCTCCCCCAGACCCTCTCCCACTCACTAGCCCTCTAGGCCCTAACAGCACAGACGCACCTGTCTGCCTTTGTACTTGATATCATGGGAATCATGAGATACTGCTGCGCTGAGTCTGGTTGCTCTCCATCACCATTATGTTGACGAGATTCATCCCGACTGACGCGGGTGACTGCCCACTGCTAGTCATCACTGCTGTATACTGTTCCACCATGTGACTCTTTATCCTCTGGGCCGTTTCAAGGTTGGAGCCACTGTGAGTTGTGCTGCTGTGGATGTTCCGGGATGCATGCGTGGGTGCCCGGGTGCACCCGTTTCTGCCATGTGGGGGCCTAGGAGAGGCCCTTCTGGGTCAGAGCAGGTGCCTGTGTTCAGCTTTAGCAGATGCTGCCTGTTTCCCACGATGTGCACTCCCAGCAGCAGCTGTGAGTGCCAGTTTCTCCACAGCCTCACCAACACTTGCTGTTGTTCGTCTTTCATTGTTTTAATCCTTTAGAAAAGATTTTATTTATTCATCTTAGAGAGACATCGAGCAAGAGAGTGGGGAGGGGCAGAGAGAGGGAGAAAGAACCTAAAGCAGACTCCGTATTGAGTGCAGAGCCTGAGGTGGGGCTGGATCTCACCACCGCGAGATCGTCACCTAAGCCAAAACCAAGAGTCAGATGTTCAACCTACTGAGCCACCCAGGCGACCCTATTGTTCATTTTTAATTTTAACCACTCTCAGGGAGCATGGAGTGGTATCCTCTTGGGGTTTTCATTTGCATTTCCTTGAGACTAATGAAGCCGAGTGACTTTTCATTGTTTACATTGGGTGACCTTCTTCTGTGAAGTGGATTTAAGTCTTTTGCATGGCCGTGAGCCCATGGAAGCCCTTGATGTGCACTGATGAGTTGCTTCCAAAATAGTGGTGCACAGGTAGCTGTCCCTGAGCCCTACCAGTGCTCCACCCGCGTCTTCTGGGTGTGCACAACCCTGAATCAAGCACACGGCGCTGCGGGCAGGGCGGAGCTGGGTTTGGGCTCCCACTGCCTCCATGACCGGGAGCCCTTCACGCAGTGGACAACCTGGCCATCCATGCCCAACCACTCTGCCTGCCCCTACATTGTACAGAGAGCCTCACACTGGCCAACTTGGCCGTGCTCAGAGGAGAACAGAGGGAAACAAGAGTTTGCATTCCCTGGGTGCCTTAATGCTAGAGGAAAGACGACTCTGGGGGACCTGCTCAGTGGCTACAGATGATCAAAGGGCTGTTCTGGGACCCAGGGATCAGATTTGTTTTAGGAGGCCCTACAGGCCCAAAGCCAGGCTGGCAAATTTGAGCTCAACACAGGTTAGGCTGTGAAGGCTCCGTGAGGTCTAGGTCACTTCAATAGCATCATGCCCAGCACACAGTAGTCACCTAATCTATGCCTTTGGGATGACAGCTGACTAGTGCTATCCTGCAACAGATGAGCTGCGTCGGGAGGTGGGGGAGGGTGGTGAGCTCCCCGGCACTGTGGACGGGCAAGGCCAGGCAGGTGACCATCATCGAGGGATTTCACAGGAGGGAGTAATGCCTTTGGTGCTGACTGCTCTGCATGATATTAAAGATGTCCCCAGTCCCTGGACTCTGTGAAGCTATGAATTACCCATGCTGGGATTCAGTAAATGCAGGCTGATCAGTATTAGCTGAAGCAAAACCTAATTAGGAAGGCAAATTGATTTCCAAAAAAAGAATTGGATGATGTGTTCCCAAGACTGTTAGAAATGGTTTTTTAATTGTCTGCTCTTTTGTATAATTCATGCCATTGTATGCCTTTGTGAGCGAAGTCTGGGCAGGTGCCCAGGCACAGGGGCTGACAAGGAGCAACATGGGGCTGAGAGCTGCTCTTTCTGCGCTCACCCCCACCCCAGGTAGCCCGGTCCCAAGGGAAGGGCATCTTCCTCTTCCGGAGGCTGAAGGACATCATGGACTGGAGGAAGGTAAGCTTACCTCTGCCCTTGCTGCAATGAGGGGCCCCGCCTTCCCTCTTTCAAAGCTTGGAGGGTGGCAAGGAAGCTCTGGGGCAGGCCCATAGGAATGGGGTCCCTGAAGCCAGATTGCCCGGGTTTAAATCTTGGTTTTTTTCCCCCTTAATAGCTGTGTGACCTTGGGCAAGATCCTTCACCTGTCTGTGCCTAAGGAAATGGGGGATAGTAGTAATAGTACCTGCTGAGGACACAATGAGTTAATATGCCTAAAACCTGAGTACATGGCCTCTATACCTGGACCTCCTACTCACCTGGTCGGGGAGAGTTCGGCCGAGTCTTCCTGTAGATCCTAGGCTGAGCCTGAGGTAGCTCCCTCCCTCCCCACTACCCCATCCCTATCCCAGACACAGCGCAGCAGAAATCCTGGTTCCAGTCCTGCCTATGCCGTTCTGCAGCTGTGTGGTCTTGGGAAAATTGCTGAACCCCTCTGAACCTGAGAGATTTTAATAGTGCAGGGTGAGGGGGGGCGCCTAGATGGCTCAGTTGGTTAAGCGTCTGCCTTCGGCTCAGGTCATGATCCCAGGGTCCTGGGATCGAGCCCCACGTCCAGCTCTCCACTCAGCAGGGAGTCTGCTTCTCATGCCACTTCTGTGTCCTCCCTCCCTCTCTCCCCCGCCCTCAAATAAATAAAATCTTAAAAAAAAAATAGTGCAGGGTGAGGGAGAAGAGCAGGATGACCAACTCCTACACAACCAGCACCTACTGCACGAGCTGGTACTCAAAAAATGAATTTCCCCCCTCCCCTGTGTGTCCTGATTCTGCCCACGAAACCGGCAGGGCACCGCGGGCAAGAAGCTGACCAGCTTAGAGGCCCCGCCGGCCCGGAGCGCTGTCAATCCCTCTGGCAGCCATGTGAGTACAGGTAGGGGGTGGTCCGGCGCCCGGGAAGGGGAGGCCTGGTTACCTTGGGGTGGTGTGACAGTAAGTGGAGGAAATTTTGCCCTGGGGGCCAGGAACCCTGAATTCCAGGGGTTCCCAGCCACTGGGCTGTTGTGTGACCTCACCAAGTGAGTGACACTTGCCTTTGGGCCTCAGTTTTCTCACAAGGTTACTGGGAAGAGGGGCAGTGGGTGAGAAAGGGCTTTGCGGATGGTGAGGTGCTGCACAGGTGTGAGAGAGGGCATTGCTGTCTTCCTGAGCTGGGCTGGTGAGCTGGTGAGGGCGGGAGAACCCGCAGGCAGAGAAGGGACAGGAATGTCCTTGGGCGTCTGTGTGGTGCTGCAGGCAGCGCTGACCAATGGAACCTTCTACAGAGGTGGGCCAGTGTGTGCCTGTACTCTCCCCGGTGTGGCGACCACTAGCCACGTGTTGACACTGAGCACCTGAAAAGCTGCTGGTACCGCTCAAGGGCTGGATTTTACATTTCTTTTCCTTTTTTTTATATAAATAAAATTTGCCATTTGACTACTTTTAAGTGTATAATTAGTGGCATGAAGTATATTCACGCTGTTGTGCAACCTTCCCCACCGTCCACCTCTAGAACTCTTTTATCTAGTTCCAGAACTCTGTCCCCAAGAAACACCGGCTCCCTATTTCCCCTCCTCCCACCCCAGCGCCTGGCGGCCATCCTTCTACTTGCCATCTCCGTGGATTTGACGACTCTAGAGACCTCATCTAAGTGGACTCAAACAGTAATTGTCCTTTGTGTCTGGCTTATTTCACTTAGCGTAATGTCCTCAACGGACATCCATGTGGGAGTATTTAATTTCATTTACTTTTCATCAGTTTAAATGTAAATGGACAGCGCAGGTCTGGAGGTTAAATGCCGAGGCTCCGGGCCCAGCCTGCGGGTCCACTTCCCAGCTGTGCCACTGCACAGCTGTGTGACCTTGGGCAAGTCACTCCCCTTCTCTGTGCTTCAGGTTCTCATCTGTAAACTGGGGATAACATGAGTACTTACTTCCCTGATAGGGGTTGATATACCCCGAGGACAGTACCTAACACAATGCCTCCTACACAAGGAATGCTCCATAAATGTTAATAATCATTATTTTTACAACTAGGATGCAAGAAGTTCTGATGACCAGAAGGATGAGATCCCTGTGGAGAACTACGTAGCTCAGCGCTATATCGAAAATCCCTACCTGATAGGAGGTGAGATGGCCCCTCTGCCCAGAACAAGCATCTGTGCTGCTTGGCTGCTCTCACCTCCCCGGGCAACGTCCTCTCCTCTCTCCACAGTGACCCCATCCTTTCTTGTGGCATCACCGGATGTCAGTGACCCCCCAGCTTTCTGTCTCCAGCTGAGACCTCACCCTGACACCCCGGATCCTGATGTCCCACAGCCTGCGGCATGCCCTCTTGGGCACCTGCCAGCAACTCAAACCCAACAGCGAGCCTAACATCCCACCTCGCCCTCCCCCTGCCATGGGGCTCATTCCCCAGCCTCCCCGTGGCCCCAGCCCCTCCAGCCCTGGGTGCTAAGCCAGAGGTCGGAGACCATTCCGGGTGTGCCCCTCTCTTCTCCTCCCCGCTCCGACCTCCATCAGGCTCCCATGCAGCTCTTGAATCCGTCTGACCCCTCCATCCCGGTTCTGGCCACTGTCCCCTGCCGTCCTCACTGGTACCCACAGCTGCTCTGGCCCCCTGTGCTCCACTCCAACACAGTAGCCGGGGGGACAAGGTACCCTTCAGTGGCTTCCCATGGTTGGTGAAACAAAATGCAAAACCTGCACATGAGCTGGCCCCTGCTGACCTTGCTGACCTCACTGACCTCACTGACCCCATATCCTTCCACTCTGCTGGCTCCGGGCCCCAAGGCCCACCCTTCTGGGTTAGTGGGCACCTCTCTTCCTGGAGCCTTCTCCATGAAGCCTTCCTGATCCCATGTCTTCAGCCTTTCCCCAGCATGTCCTAAGATTTTATTTATTTATTTGAGAGAGACAGATAGTGAGAGATAGCACGAGCTGGGGGGTGGGGAGGGGCCGAGGGAAGGGGGGAAGCAGGCTCCCCGCTGAGCAGGGAGCCCGCCGTGGGGCTTGATCCCAGGACCCCGAGATCATGACCTGAGCCAAAGGCAGATGTTTAACCGAGCCACCCAGGCACCCCAGGCTTTTCTGGGTATTAACCCTCCCCGCCAGTTACCCTGTCCTTCTACCTCGTGTGCTTTTATTGGCATTCACCTCTGTATGTCCATCACTATAACCCACAAACCCAGCACGGTGCCTGGCCCATGGTCGGTATTTGTTGCATGAATTCTCTCCTTGCCCGACAGGCCGCAAGTTTGACCTGCGCGTCTATGTGCTGGTGATGTCGGTGAGTAGCTAAAAGGGGCCCCTCCTCCAGCCGCAGGTAAGGAACAGCTGGAGGGAGACAGGGGGCAGAAGCCATTCTGGGGAGAGCACCTGTGCGAGCTTGTCTGATTTTGCCTGCCTGGGAGAACCCACGGGGCATCTGAGGATAAGAGGGGGGTGAGTAAACAAATCCCACTTTTGCCATCCCAGGGTCTGGGTTTGCCCTCTACCTTTTATTCACCCAGCCATCCGTGGTAACAGCAGCTAACTTTTACTGAGCACCTACTAAGTACCAAGCCCTGGTATTTGGCAGATTTTATTTCATTCAGTCCTCCTAATAACCAGGGAGGTCCGTTCTATTATTATCCTCATTTTACAGATGAAGAAACAGATACAGCGGGGTTGAGTGACTTGTCCAAAGTCACACACTGGTGACCGACAGAGTTGGGGTTCGAATCCAGGCAGCCTAGCCCCAGAGCCTGCTCTCAAACCAGGAGTTGCTGTGCTCCCCCCCACCACTCATTCAACAGTGCTCAGACCTTCATGGTATGGCACTCTGTGTGGGGCACCGGACATAGGGAAGTGGGACGCAGGCTCAGCCCTGTGCTCCTGGAGCTTACTGTCTGGTGGGGATTATGGACACACGTTGAGCTGGGGTGTTGCCCGTGGTGGTGGAGCAGAGAAGAGGCCTGTTCATTCTACTCCCTTCTGTACCTTCTTCCCACCCCCAGCACCAGGAAAGGAGGGACTAGAATCGGAGCAGGCTGACGCTGGAGCAGATTCTTGAGGGGTGATGTGGGAAGGAAGGAAGGGCACTCCGGGTGGAGGAAACAGCAGGTTCAAAAGCTCAGAGGGGCAAAAGTGCTCATACTCACCCCTGCCTCTGCCTCCCCCTCCTTTCCCTCCTGGACGCAGTACCTCCCGCTTCGGGCCTGGCTGTACCGGGATGGCTTTGCCCGATTCTCCAACACCCGCTTCACCCTGAGCAGCATTGATGACCAATGTATCCTGGGATCGCTGCCTACCCATCTCCCGTGCAGCCTGCCCCTTCCCACCTCCCAGCTGGTCAGGGTGAACTTATTCATTCCACAGAGCGCCAAGCTGGGGTCTGGGCACAGGAGATAACAGCAGCGAACAAGACGGGCCTGGTCCCTTCCTCCGGGCCCTGACAGTCCTGTAGGGAGCCCCCTGTGATCCCAGGGGAGCGGCTCCGCTTTGCTCAGAGCAGCTCACCCCAAACTGCTCTGCCTGACGGTCACTTTGGTGGTGTGCCGGCCATCCGCACTGGTTCACGGTTGTAGGATGGGAGAGTTTGAGCCTCTCTGGAGAACGTTTGCATCCTTTCATGTGCTTTAGTCATTGGCTCACATATTCACTCAAACATGATGCCCTCTTCATCCACCACGATGGCAGGGACCGAAAATTTGGTAACACACTATGTCGGCGAGGCTAGGGGAGTACAGGTGTTGCTGGTGGAGTAGAAGTTGGTACAGCTGCTTCGGAGGCGACCTGGCAAATGTCTATCAAAAGACAAAAAACACATGCTCTCTGACCCAGCAATTCCCTTCAGGGAATTTACCCTACACGCACACTCATGGTATAGGAAAAGAGAGGTTGAAAGGTTATGCACTGCACAGCCTTGTTTGTGAGAGCAAAAAAAGATAGGAAATAAGACCAATGGCTCATTTACACGATGGAATACTATGTGGCTGTTAAAAAGGAATGGGGGGGCCGTGCTTTATGTACAGATGTGAAATAATCTCGGTGATGTATTGTCAGTTGGAAAAAAGCGGAGTGTAGAACTCTGAAAAGTATGCTTCCGTTCACGTCACAGATCTCTCTCTCTGTGTATCTGTGCACAGACATCTCTGGAAGTACAAGAAATTGGAAACAGAAGTTGCCCTTGGGAGGGGACTTGGGCAGGTGGGCGCAGGCGTGGGGAAGGACATATGTCCTCAGACACATTTTGATGCCTTTTGATTTTTGAACCACGAGAGTGTATTATTCGGTTAGAATATCCACATCAAAAATAACGTTTCTAAGATTTTTAGACGTGAGCATCAGAAGAAAAGAGGTTGACAGTCCAGAAATGGGGAGATGAGAAATCAGCAGGACGAGATTGCCTGCATGTGGGAGAGAAGGAAAGGAAGGTGCTGCGTCTGCTAAGCTGCTGACGCGGGCAACCCAGCCAATGCTTCTAGCCAGTTCGCGCCTCTCGCCTTAAATTTGTCTCTGGATTATGGGTCTGTCTGAGCTACTTGCCTGCAGGCTGGAATGGGAGGGAGCCCTCCTGGCTATTTCCTACGACTTTCCCCCCTATCTTTCCAACTTCAGGATCTTTAGTATGTTTGTTTCATTTTGTAATTCTAACAAGCATTTGTCATATGCAAGTTAACATCTATTTTAGGTTCATTTCTTTGGCCACCGTGTGTTTTGTTAAGATTAAATCACACATGTAAAGTATTTAGGACAGTGCTAAGCCCAGAGTGAGCGCTCAGCACACCTTACTCATCCCCTCCCCGCTATTTACAAGTGTTTGTGTATCTCTGGGGTCGTGGGGCCTTAATAAGCAAATCCCAGCCTCCTCCAGGACTACTTTCTAGTTAATGAGGCTTTCCTGTTTGCACAGTGAGTGCATACACATTATTTTCCACAACTTCTTTTCATTGTTTTTGATTTTTAAACGTTAAAATAGTTAAAACGTATAGAAAAATGTAGAAAAGACTATCAGAGAAATCCAGGCATCCATCATCCAGATTTGACAAATGTTAGTATTTTGCCACATTTCCTTCTATTACACATGCAACTTTTTAAAATAATAAAGCAACTTTGGGGGCACCTGGGTGGCTCAGTCGGTTAAGTGACCAATGCTTAGCTTTAACTCAGGTCATTATCTCAGGGTTGTGGGATCGAGCCCCACGTCAGGTTATGTGCCTAGCACAGAGTCTGCTTGGGACTCTCTCTCCCCCTCTGCCCCTCCCCCCTGTTCTCTCTCTCTCTCTCAAATAAATAAATACCTCTTTAAAAAAATATAATAAAGCAACTTTGGATCACAGAATAATAAGACATATTTTAACCTGACCTTAAATATATATATTTACATTTTTATATATAGTTCATGCACAGCTACTCAAATATTATATGCATACACACACACACACACACACAAAATACAAAAGTAACCACCTCAACACTGTAATAATAAATAGAAATAAGTTAAAACGCCTTTGTGGGGGTGGTAAAAGGAATGATAAAGCATCTGCATGAAATTGCACAGCTGTTATAATGAGGTAAATTGAACTGTCATGGAAAGTCATCTAAGATAGACTATTAAGGGAATAACAACACACAGATAGAGAACTGGTAGGTTTATGATCCTGATTTGGCTTTTAAGGAAGGATGTTTCTGTTTAGAAGAAAGTAAGAAAGGATGTTCACTAATTTATTAATTCTGAAAACCACGGAGGATTAGAATCAGGTCAGGAACTTTTATTTCCAACTTTACATGTTTTCCTGTATTATCAATTGTTTTTACAACCATTATGTATTACTTTAATAATAAATATAATAAAATATTTAAAGAGTATAACTTTCACAATACAAATAGTATATCTTTTTAAAGACAAATCAGAAAATTCAGAAAATGTACGAAAAGGGGGTGGGGGGAGAAAAGCCTTCTCTAGTCACGTTTTCCAGAGACAACTACTCACCCTTCTGATGTATTTCCTCCTAGGTTCATTTGTATGGTTTTTTGTTGTTGTTGTTTGTATTTTATAAAGGAGTGATCCCACCATATAAACATAACTGCTTTTTCACTACACATGTCAGTATTTTCCTTGCAGACATTTTTTATTAGTTATAAAATATTCCACTGAGTTGGATTTACTGGTTTACTAATCCTCCATGCTGTGGGCATTTGGGAAGTATTCAGTTTCCTCCAATTATGACGTATAGTGCCACAAAAAAATGTATTTTTCATAAATCTTTTACTATATTTAAATTTTTTCCTTCAGATGACATTGCAGAAGTGTAACTTCTGGGTCAAGGGCTTATGGTTAGATTGTTTTCCAGAAGGTTCTTTTGTATTTTTACCCTTCCATTGACAGGGCCCATTTTATCCCTGCTCTCCGGTTCTGAGGACAACCATTTTAAAGAGACATTTTTAAAACAACTGGCACGTATAGGTGAAGCATATACGGGCATTCAGTATACTTGCAATGATTCTGTGAGTTTTGAGTTTTTCCAGATAAAAAGGTTAAAACATATGTAACTGACTTAATGGGGAAGCAGGATTTTACTTTAGAATTTGCATTTCTTCCAATTGTATTTTTGCCCCATTTGCATCCCTTTAAAATTGGGTATCTTCTATTACTGGAAACTTTAGGCATTTTCCCAGATGGTCTTTTGCCAGTTATGTCTCCTCTGATGTGTTCATATCCCTCTATTTACTTATCTATTAGGGTCATAAATTTTTATTGTTAACAATTTATGTGGGATTTTCATGTGACAAAAAACATTAGCCTATCATAGTTGCTACAAATCTTGTCTCTAGTCATGCTTGCTTTTCATTCGTGTCTTGATATCTGATTATTTTTATGTTTACATAGTTGGCCCATCCACTGACTTCCTCTGATTTCTATTGTCATTTCTAAGCAAAAAAAATTTCCTGCTGAAAGAGTTCATAACTAATCAGTTCCACTTCTCTACAGATTGGTTTTGATGGTTTGCTACTTTGCCTATGTACCCGGCTTAATAGGTGAGGAAACAGGCTCAGAGGTTAAGTGACTTGCTCGGGCGGGGGGAGGGCAGCCAGTAAAGATACAAGTGGGATTTGAACCCAGGCCCATCTGGTTACAAGGCCCACATCTGTGCTGTCTGGGCTGTTTGGTAGCCTTCCTCATCAATGGCCAAGCACAAGTCTTACTTTGGTCTCTGGGGGCTACATGGCACAGGGCTCCTCCTTATTTGCACTAGTCCTTGACCACCAACCTCACCCAGATGTTCATCTCACCAATGTTGCTGTGCAAAAGACATCTCCTGACTACCACGCAAAGAAGGTGAGGAAGCTGGGCTTCTGCCTTCCAGGGCCAGCCTTTTGGGACCGGGTTGGGGTGTGGAGGTGGGGTACCAAGGAGCCCAGGACAGGCCTATCTTGGGCTCATAGTTCACCAGTGAGGTCAGGACCACCCTTCCCACTTGCAGGGCCCAAGGCAAGAGTACATCATGTGTCTAAACAGTTAAGTTACAACTCAAAGAAACACACCCTGGAACAAAATGTGTTCTATCCTCCTACCTTGACAAGTACATTCCCATCCATCCATCCATCCATCCATCTAATAATCTAATAACCTATCTAATAACTTGGCAAGGCCAGGTTCAAATTTAGAATTCTCAGACTTCTCAGAGTTAAGACCCAGAACAGTGGGGCACAGGGAGACCTGGCCCCCAGCTCACACCCACTCGCTTCCTTTCCCTCCCCCAGCTCCATCCTGCACACTCCCATTTTCCTGAAAACAGTAACCAGTTGTCGTCTTTGGGCCTTGGGGTACACACATGGCCAGTGCAGTCTGTCCCCAGGAAGGCAGGCCCAGGGAAGAAGTCCCTGTGCAGGGACTGACGGGGTCCCGAGTACCCTGGCTGTGCTCTAGAAAGAGAGGCACAGGCTCTGGGTGGGCACCCCCAGCCCCAAGCATGCAGTAGCCTTGCCCCACAAGAGGGACAAACTCAGAGTTCTCCTACTCACCGGACTCAGGCCTGGGCCCTTCTTGTCCCAGCCCAAGGACCATGCAATGGTGATTGTTTGAGGGTCCCAGCAGACAGGGTCCCAGTTAATTGAGGCTCCCTCTCCCACCCCACCCTGGGTGCTTGGGGCCTCAGGGCTGCAAGTGGATGCTCCAGCGCTTCCGTCAGTACCTTGCGTCCAAGCACGGGCCCGAGGCGGTGGAGACGCTCTTCAGCGATATGGACAACATCTTTGTCAGGAGCCTGCAGAGTGTGCAGAAGGTGATCATCAGCGACAAGCACTGCTTTGAGCTGTACGGCTATGACATCCTCATAGACCAGAACCTCAAGCCGTAAGTGGGTAGGCTGGTGGCCCGGAGAGTGGGGGGATGTTGTAGGTGCTGTAGCCGGACCGCCCGGGTTTGATCTCTGCCGCTTCCTTGTGTTGCGCCTCAGTTGGCCCATCTGTAAAATGGGCATTGTGCTTATAGCATTAGTATGAGGAATGAATGAGGTACCGTCCATAGAGCACTGAACCCCAGGCCTGGCACTGAGAGACCTTTCTGGAACATCTGCTGAGCCAGGGATCCTTCCCTAATCCCGGGCAAGAAACTTCTTTGTAAGCCCTGCCGCTTTCAGGATGCAAAGTGCCACATAAGGGAATATTGTTACCATGTCGCTTTCTGCCAAGAATTTGGCAACAGTGGCCGGCTCTTCCCGGCTCGCCAGTCTCCACTCCTCCCTGCTCCCGCCACCCCACAGTGCCCACGGAGGAGGTTGAACCGATGAGGAAGACAAGCCTGACGTGGTAGGGACCACAGCGATGGCCCCCTATGTGATACAAAAGGACCCAGAAGCCCAGCGGGGTTGTTCCGGGTACTTGAGGCCACACAGTAAGTCAAGGGCAGAGCCAGACCCAGGGTCATCATTTTGGGGCCAGTACTGCGGCTCCTGGAGCCAAGCCCCTCCCCTGGGTCCCTGGACCGGTGCAGAGGGGTTTTCGGACCCAGGAGTTGGAGCCCTAGAATGAGGCCTAGGTCAGATAGCTTCAAGAGAAACAGGGTCCTGGGGCCAGCGGGTCTCTCCTCTGCCCCTGCAGCAGGACGTGGCTGGGGAAACAAGTTTGGGAGGGGGAGGGCCCGCGTCTGCCACGGACCTGCCTGGTGAACCCTTCCCTCTCTGGGCCCCAGGTTCTTGTCCGTCAACGACCGGGTTGCGCAAAACCAAAGTTTGCAAGCTGGAGGCCCTTGGGACCCATCGCTGTGGTCCCTACCACCTCAGGCTTGTTTTCCTCATCAGTTCAACCTCCTCTGTGTCTGTGGCTCACAGACACTTTGGAGTTTGGACTTCATATGGTTTTTTATTTAAATTCATTGACGATCTCTAAAAAACGGGGAGATATTTACACAACAGTCTGGAGTTTTGCCTTTTCTGGAAAACTCAGAAGGTCTGCCGACCCTGGGCCACACTCCCACAGGGCAGCAGTGTCCTGGAGGGGCCGTGGCAACAGTGGCCGGCTCTTCCCCGCTCGCCAGTCTCCGCTCCTCCCTGCTCCCACCACCCCCAGCGGCCAGGCACTCGCCTTCCGCAGGCAAGCGTCACCAGGGTTCTATTGGAAGAAGGAGGGAGGAGCAATAGGAGGGCGGCAAGATCACTCCACCCATTTGGGTACCACCCGGCCCCTGTGGGGATTTCGAGTTTGTGACCACTGTCTTCAAAAAGGTTTAGCTGCTGAGTCCTTTCTTGTAGTGGAAAAATGGAAAGAGCGACCTTGTTTGAATTGAGGGCTGGGCCCAGGCACCACATGTAGCCTCTCGGCGAAATTCCAGGGGCCCCCCCGGACCAGGTAACCCTAAGGCCTTACACCTCCCTCCTTCCCCAGGTGGCTCCTGGAGGTCAATGCATCCCCGTCATTGACAGCCAGCAGCCAGGAGGACTATGAGCTCAAGATCTGCCTCTTGGAAGACACCCTGCATGTGGTGGACATGGAGGCCAGGTAAGGGGGGGGCAGCCTCACTCAAGCACCCCTGGACATGACACGTGGGGCCCCCGGCAAGGAAGACAGAGAACTCACAGCACTGGGACTTGAGCAGTATGTAAGGATGGCTCAGGCCTGCTTGCCATTTCATAGATGGACAAACTGAGATGTCCACACAGGGTTATATGCTGGTCCAAGGACTCAGCCCTTTTCGGGCAGAGCAGGACCAACTACAGCCTTCTGAGATTCAGCCCAGCAGGATTTCCTCCACACTTCCTGACCATGAGACCCTGGACTTCACCTGTCTGAGCCTCAGTTTCCTCATCTGTAAAATGGGAAACATCATGTTTACCTCTCAAGATTGTTAATTTACCAAGATTATTTATTGTAAAGTGTCTAGCTCACCATAAGTGTTCATTAAGAGACTATATATTGTTATAACAACGTGTATATAATGGGAAAATCCAGGGCCTGACTTCAGGAATGGCTGAATCCAGGTGCTCGGTTGGTATTGGTTGGTCTGTCTGCACACTGGCTCACTCTTCTGTCTCTCTCATTCCCTTTCTCTCCCTTTCTCCCTCTCCCTCCCCAACCGCCACTTCTTTCCTATGCATTAGCTTTTTCCCAATTATTCCAGCAAAAGTTTGAGGGCTCTCATTCTTATTGGTGGGGATTCTGTCACATGCCCATCTCTGAACCAATCATCGTGACTCTGATTGACTGGGCCTACATCTCGTGCCCATCTCCCAGGGGGGTGGGATCATCCCCACCTGAGCCATGTGAATGAGAGAGGGAGGAGTACCTGGAAAAGTCAAGTACCCTTAGGCTGAAAAAAGCTGAAATGTGTGCTGAGCAGGCAGAACCTCGAGTGTCCTCTATATCTACCATCACTTATTCATTGAACAAACATTTGGGCCCCTAATATGTGCCAGGACCTGTGCCACACCCTGGGGACACAGTAAAGGACACAATAGACCTAGTCCCTGCTTTCCTGGATTTTATGGTCGGGGAAGGACGGCAGACTTTAAGTATAAGTAGGTTCATGTTACTGAGGGCAAGGGTGGGAGCCTGGGGACGACAGAGGAGATGACCCCTCTGAGACCTGTCTGGGCCCCCAGGAAATGGGCGGACAAAAGAGCAGCATGGGCACCAGTAGGGTGCAGGGAGGGAGCGGGGAACCGGTCTGGGCCTTCTGGCCCCACCAGGTGCACCTCCATTATCCCCTTGTATCTCCTGCCCGTCCAGGCTCACAGGAAGGGAGAAGAGAGTGGGAGGCTTTGACCTCATGTGGAATGATGGCCCTGTCAGCAGAGAAGAGGGGGCTCCTGACCTGTCGGGGATGGGGAACTTTGTGACCAACACACACCTTGGTATGTGGGGCCAGCTGGGGAATGGGCACTGGGGATGGGTCATGAGAGGAGCCAGGTAGTCTAGGAGACAGCTTGGCACAGTGGTTAGACTGTTTTCATTTGCCCTACCATTTACCGGCTGTGTGACCTTGGGCAAGGGACTGAACCTCTCTGTTCCTCATCTGTAAAATGGAGATTAAAGAGTTTTTACTCTCAATATATGCCTAGAACACCACCTGGTACATAGCAAGAGATCTTATTAATCTGTCAGGAGGTGGATTTCAAGAGACTTAGGTGAAAAAAAAAAAAGCACACTGTGTTAAAAGAAATTAAGGACTCCAGTGCTTGACTTTAAACTTGGTTTTTAAAAAAGTGAAAAATTTTCCTGATTATAAAAAGTATTTACTCCTTGTAGAATATTTGAAAACCAAAAGGAAATAAACCATCTGCACATAACCAACTTTAACAATCTGTTGTATTTCCTTCCAGTGTTTCAAAAATGTGTATATTCACCCTTTTTCTTTCACAAAATGGGCACCGGGCTGGAGTTTTGGGTCCCACTTTTCCATGTAATATATTCCATGTCGTTCAATGATATTAGTAAGAGCCTCTCTTCTGGAAACACTTTCCGGCTAGGTCCGAGCTAAATATTTTACATACATTATTTCATTTTTAGGCAGCTTCTATCGTTTTACAGATGGGGAAATGGTCTCCAGATCTTACATAACTTGCTGAGGGTCCCAGTTATAAATGGTGAGCCAGGACTTGAACCCTAGTCTCTCTTACTCTAAAACCTGAATGCTTGACCGCTAGAAAATCCTGTCCGTTACCACAGTTAAGAGCAAAATTACTATACGGCTGTAAAATATTTCAGCTTGTGTATGTGCTGACCTTACTAAATCCATTTCTTATAATTGAGCATTTGGTAGGATTCCAAATTTTTACTTTTATAAATAATGCCATGCCATGATGAACATCCTCTCACATAAAGCTCAGCTGAAATTTCTGGCTATTTCTTTAGGACAGATTCCTAGAAGTGGAATTACTGGGTCAGAGGGATGGACTTATTACAACTAAATTGCTTTCTAGACAGATTACACAAATTTGCCTGCTCTGAATTAAAAAAAAAAAAAAAAAACCTTAACTTGATAGGCAAAAAAGTTCTGACTTGTTTTATGTGTTCCATTGATTATTGGTGAGGTTTCGGATTTTTCAATTTGCATTTCTTCTTTTGTAAGCTGTCCATACTCTTTATGTCTTTTTCAGTAGACAGTTTTCTAAATTTATAAAGGCCTTGGATATTAATACATTGATGGTATTACCCCTCTGTCAAACTTATGGTAAATATTTTCCTGAATTTGTTATTTGCTTTTAAATTTTTTTTGTGGCTTATTTTTTTTTATGAAGTTTTAAATCTTTTTTAGAGTTTGGTATGTTTCAGGATTGAGTTTGGCTGCAAGCAACTGAAAAGCCAACTAATAGTTACACAGGGGGAGTGATGTGTCTTGAGCCACAGGAAGTCTTGGGGTAGGCCAGGCAGGGCTGACACAATGGAGGCAAAATGCCCCCAGAGACCCAGTGCTTTCCTCTTTCTGCTTTGCCACACTTAGCTTGTTGCCTCATGGTTGCAAGGTACCTGCTCCAGCTCCAGACACTGTCCTTGTCCCAGGCAGGAAGAAGCAGGAAGGCCTGAGAGCCAAGGCTTTCCTTCAAGTTTGGACTCTATTCCAAAAGGGAAACCCTCCCGGGGCTGACATCTTACTGGCAAGAACTGGGTCACGTGGCCACGCCAGCTGCAAGGAAGCCTGGGATGTCAAGTAATTTGCTTGAGGAAGGCGGAGGAGAGGGCATTTATGAAAGGCTTTTCTCCAGCCAATTCCCTAGGGTCTGCTGAGTTATGTTGTTGGAAGAGGACTATCCAGTGCTCTCAAGCTTTGATGTGCATGTAATCATCTGCAAATCTTGTTAAAATGCAGATTATGATTCAGTAGGTCTGGAGTGGGGGCTTAAGATTCTGCAGTTCTAACAAACTCTCAGGTGGTGCTCTATTAGCAGTTGTTATATAACAAACCAATCCTCCCGAAACCCAGAGGCTTAAAACAACTACTGTCTTATTTGCGGATTCTTCAGGTCTTGCCGGGGGTTGCTCAGAGGGCTGCATGCGCCCGGCAGATTCGCTGAGACCCAGTGGCCTAGAATAGCCTCGTTCACACATGTGGTGGCTGATACTGGCTGTCAGCTGGGTCTCTCTTTCCAGGAGGCCACCTGTCCTCCAGCAGTCCAGCCCCACATGGTAGCCTCAGGGTTCCGAGAAGGTGAGAGAAGTCCTAGGGAAGCCTCTTGAGGCTTCCACAGGAAGCCCCACAGTATAGTGTCATTCTGCCACAATCCATCCATCAAAGCTGCTCCACCCCAGATTCATGGGGCAAGGAAGCGGCCCCCACCTCCAGGTGGAGGAGCACCAAAGCACCTTGCAGAGACTCGTGCACAGAGGAATGGAAGGAGTTGTTACAGCTACCTTTGCCAAGCATCCGCCTCAGGTATGAATGCTGCTGGTGCCGGGCCTGGTTCGAGTGGCAAAGATGCAGAACAGTGGTTCTCTCCATCTTGGCTGCTACAGGAATTCTGCAGGAGCTTTCAAAAATACTAATGCCTACTGAAGGTCAAGATACAGTTGGTCTGGCCATTAGTCTTTTCAAAAGTGCCCAGCTGACTCTAAAGTGCAGCCTAGGTTGACAGCCACTGCTTTAGAAGTTTCTAAAATAATTCCCAAGTCTCCAGTCGAGTGTCTGGGTAGATGGTAGTGAGTACAAGACAAGCTGGTTGGGGTGGGAAGAGCATGGATGGAATGAGTAAGGGAAATGTTGAGGGGTTTCTGGGTGAAAAGATCAGCAGGTAACTCAGAGATGAGTCTAGAACTCCAAGAAGAGGTTTGCATTGGACACGAAGATTTAGGAGTTGTGAAAGAACCAATTAAAGCTTTGGCAAACCCTGGGGACACAGGTAGTGGGCCTCAGCTCGGTGAAGCCTTGATGGCCAGTGAGTGCCTAGGAGGCAGGGATGGGGCTCAGGGCTGCTAAGAAAGATGGCAGATGCCTGCAGGACAGTATAGTTGTGGCCACAGCGAGCTAGTCACTCAGCCAGCATCTGAGAATGCCATCCCTGTGCCTGGCACAACTGACCATGGAGCTGCCTCACGGACCCACTGTGAGGACAAGCACGAAGTGAGTGACACCATGAATGTGCTGGAAGAGGTGGCATCTCGGAAGCTCAAGTTGGCCTCTCAAGCAGGGACCGCCTGGGACACACTTCCAGGAGCGCAGGGGCCGCGTGTGGGGAAAATTGATCTCTTAACCATTTGTGCCTGCTCTGTGGGGTTGGGGAAGGGAAGGAAGCTAACGCTTAACCTGTTAGGGACCAGGCACCACGCTGGCTTGTCATGTTTCCAGGAAGCACAGCCAAGAGGAAAGGCCGTGTGGAGCCGTGGTTAAGAGCTTGGCCTCTGGCGCTACAGAGCCTGGGTTCAAGTCTCAGTTCTGCTTTCGGTGTGATTGGAGCACATTTCTTAACTTCTCTGAGCCTCAGTTTCTCTTCTCCACATCATTCCTGTGAGGGCTCAACACGTTCATCCACATTCAGCACCTGGGGCGGGGTAAGCTGAAATGAGTGTTACCTTTTTCTTTTGGTGATCCTTACATTCCCTCCATAAAGCAGGTATCCTGGTTTACAGATGAGCAAACTAAGCTGGAGACGGGTCAATGACCTGCTCGAGGGCCACGGAGTGGAGGCAGGACGCAAACTATAGGCCATCTGGGGGTGCATGCCCCTCCCAGCTCCCCCTACCGCCCACCCCCCGTGCCTCCACTACCAAGGCCATCCCAGCCAACACTTGGCTTCCCTTCCAGGCTGCGTCAATGACCGGAACAACCAGCTGAGGCAACTATTCCACTCCCTTCAGAGCCAGAAGAAAGCCTCCAGTTAGTCCTGGCAGCAGGGACAGCGACCCGCCCAGGAGGTGCCCCCCCCCCAGGCTCCTCCCCACCCGTTCCCAGCACAGCAGCGCCTTGGAGCACTTGCCTCCCTCCCTCTGGCCTGGTAGCAGCAGCTTTGCGGGCTGGGTGGGCCGCTGCCTACTCACTGTCTGCTGCCGCTTGTCTGGGTCCCCTGGATGCCCCCGCCCCACCCCAGGCACCTCTGCACCCAGAGACAGCCAATCCCTGGGACTGTGTTTTAACATTGCGGGATTGGCTTGGCGATCAGGCCCAGCGAGGACAGCCGTGGCAAGCCCTACTACCCCAGAGAGACCACGTCTAATAAAGGAACACAGGCCTTACTTGGAGTCACTGTGCCCTGGACCCCGGCTCAGGGGATGCTGATGGCTGAAGCCAAGTCCTCCCTGATTTGACCATTTGATGTCTCAAACGTTAAAATGATCCTTCAGGAGGAGGGGTTCAGGGGCTAGGGAACTGGTCTTAAGGTGTACTTGCAAAGCAAACAGTTAACAGATTGTGTTTATTGGGCTCTGGGACAGGGCTGAGCCTTAAATACATCTTTGTCTCCTTTCAACACCCTGACCTGGTGTGTCAGGGAACTCATGGAGCTCCCCTGACCATCTGAAAACCAGTGGGCCAGAGCATCCCCTTTTCTCAGACAGACAAGGTAAGGATCGGGAAGGCAGAGCTGCTTAGCGAGGGTCTCTGCAAAGGTGCACTCATCTGAGTCAGATGGGTGATGGAAGTGCCCCTCTGCGTCTTCCTGGGAGCTGAGGTTTCAGAGAGCCTTGGCCTGGCAGGCAAGGAGATGGCGTAGGGAGTTAGGTGAAAGTTCTGCGTTTTCTCCATATTCCCCATTCCTAAGCCTCCTCTTCGTTTGAGAGAGATTGCCACAGGGCAGGCTGTGGGTGAACCGCTCCATGGGGGGCCTACTATGGGACCAGGCAGCTCCCATTGCAACTCTCCCTGCTGCGGGACAGCGCTGGCTGCAAATAGCAGATTTTGACTGCCTAGGGAAGGGAAAGGTTTTTGGAAGGAAAAATACTGGCAAACCCCAGAAGTGAACCAGCCAGCCTTGGGAAGGCCAGAAGCCAGGCCACTCTGCGCCTCCTGCCTCCAGAGCATGGGGACTTCCTTGCATCACTGTGACAGAGGTAAGACCACACAACCCCAGACACAGGCTCCTCATTTCCAGGACAGCCAATCTGATTGGCTCTTTGGCCTAGCCACCACCCCGCTAGACAGGCAGGGGCAACGTTCAAATACGAGTCGTGAGCCAGGCCCACATCCCAGGCACTACCACAGCCATGTGTCCTTACTGCAACCTTGTGCTCCAGCCCTGCAGCTTCTGTCTCGGGAGGGAGCCATGCAGTGTTTGCACACAAATGATCAGATTAGACGCTATCTGTCCACTTGCTTTTCTCACCTACTACATCTTGGAACTTGTTCTCAGTCAGTGCTTAGAGAGCTTCCTTCTTGATGACAGATGTACCATATTCCACTGTCTGGAGCTATCAGTTCCTTTAACTAGTCTACTACGGACAGACATCTAGCTTCCAATTCCACCTCCCCACTTCAGGGCCATCATAGGGAAAACGCATGCTATTTTCTACTTAAAAAACTCAAGGGGATGCAAAATCATAGGTATGGGTCAAATTTGGCTTATGTAAGGTATTCTGTTTGGCCAACTTTAAAAACTTCTGCATTAGCAGTATTTAAAAGACAGAAGATTCAACTTAAAAAATCCAAATTTCTAGCCCTTTTTGGAAAAAAACACAAAATGTTAAGATCTGGCCATACCAGCCTATGTTCCCATATCATTATCGTCTGGAGCCAAGTGGAGCAAGGGGACTAGGTGAGGCCACAGTCATTGTTACTGCCTGTCGAGTCCTGCTATCATTTCCCAGCAAGAGCCACTGTCCCTTTGCAGGTGGTGTCCTCAAGGCAATGTGCCCTCAAGTAAGGCTGAGATGAGGTAAAGAACAGAAGCTACTGTTCATTCATTTAGGAAACGTTTGTTAAGCCCTCAAAGAACATGAAAGACACAGTGCTGCCCTCACAGTACTTCACCCCCGGATCCGAGACCGCTGAGAGCGGGCGGGAACTCTGAGCAGTTCTGGGAACTCTGGCCCGGGCCCTGCCTTCAGAGGTGGCGGAGGGCCACGTGAAGAGGCAGCTCCCTCCCCCATCCGTGGTCCAGGACTCTGCAAGGGCTTTCCTGACTAAACAGCAGGTGCAGGAGTCTGAGACGCAGCACCCACGCTGGGCTCCATCCCAGGGACATGTAGGAGAAAAGGGCCAAAGTGGAGGCTGTGGTGGGGACTGGGGCGCGTGCCCCGCGGAAGGCTGCGGTGAACTACGAAGCACCAAGATTCCACCCTTCATTCAGAAGCCATCTGTGAGCTGCCCGCTTTATTCCAATTCCACCACATGCTGCCTGAGAATGCCTCTCTTCCTGAAAGGAATGCAGGAATGATGCTCCCTGCGGCTGCCAGGGGCCCATCTGAACAGCAGGCCCTTGTTAAAAGCGCCTGCTGTGGTCATTCTCACGCCTTCACAGGCACGGCCCCCACCCACCACTGGTGGCTGCTGGGGCCTATCAATGGGTCTTGTGTCCATCCAGCTCCAGTGGCTGGACCCAGCAGACACTGGCAGGCCGAGGGCTCCCTCCTGCCGTCACAGAGCAGCAATCCCCACAGACAGAGGTTTCTCATGCTCAGATTCCTGACGCCTAGCTCCCAATAGATCATGTCCTTGCAGGTTATAAAGCTGGAGAGTCCTGGGTCCTCCATGACCGCTGGTGGGGGGAGGAGGGGTCGGGGAGAGAAGCTGTCTTTGGTACCCCATCTTGGTTCTTGAGTTTCATCCTTTTAAGATGATCTTGAGAGCTTTAAGTTCATCCTGGTTGAGGGGATTCAGGTTAAAACCCTTCAACTCTGGTTTGCCTAGGGGGAGAAAACAATCCATCAGCAAGTTGGGCCTCCTGTTGTCCAACCTCCTGCTGGCCCTGGAGTCAGGCCCAGGAAAGGGGCTTATGCTGCATTCATGCTGCCAAACACTTGGCCTTAAGATGTAAAAGGGAAGGGCCTCAAATTCGGCAATGCACTGGACGAGGCACCTGAGTCAAGGACCTGCAGAGTCACGACTCTGCTGCCCAGAAACCTACCGATTTCTGCCAGACCTGTGACCAGTCTGGAGTGGTTAGGTTTACCCAGAAGTTCAGCTCTGACCTTGACCATCTGACTGAGGCCTTCTGCGTCCCCTCAGTCAGAGCTGTCCTGGTTCCTATACCATGCCCTAGGATATCATGTGAGATACCCCAGGCTGTTCCTCTTATGTCAGGAAAAAGACTTGTGACAGGAATAAGACCCCGCAACCCTCCTTGCCCATTCCATCTCTGGGCAGCTACGACTGCTGTCCCTGCCCACAGCCTCTACGCGGCCCACGTGCTGCCCAGGCCCTCGCCACCCACCTGGGAGGGGCTTCCCACCCGTGCTCTGCAAAGTCCATGCTGACATTGACAGTTCACTCCCCTCCTGGTTTCCAGTTCCCTCCAGGCCCATACCTTGGGCCTCAAAGAGGCGGTTGACCTTCACTTTAAGTCGTTTCCGGATTTTCTCTATTTCTTTATCCAGATGATCCTGATCTGAAAAACGAGGTGGGCGGAGGATGGGGTTATACTACAGACACAGTGACCCAAAGGCAGCCAGGGACGTCAGCTTCTCCCTAGACTCCTTGAAAGCAAGTGCTCCTGGCATTCAGGAAGAAGGGGACTTCAGAGACCAACTGAGGAAGGAACTGAAGAGCTAGAGAAGGGAGGTGATTTGTCCAAGACAGCTGAGTGAGCCCAGGACAGGACTGAGCACCCTGTCCACTGACCTATTTTCATTATGCAAAGTACCTTGGGCTGCTCAGTGGTGGTGGAGGGGTAATATCTGGACTTTAGGTCCCCCTCCCACAATGAAATTACAGAAAATTAAAACATCAGACCAGAATGAAGAACCTAGACCCAGCCCATCCAAGATGGCTGGAAAATGTGTGGCTCAGGAATCTTACAAACCCAAGTCCATCAAGGTGAGCGGTTTTTAAACAACATGACAGTGGTGATATGTGACCTAAACAATCAATGGGCAAGCCTGATGCTCAAGCTTAACCTAATTCACCGTGAACAGAAAAGATTATCTTGCCAAGATGGATCGCACGTGAACACAAACTGCACTATGAGGAAGTAGAGGCTACAAAGCTTGGTGACACAACTGCCTAATGTCACCCAACTCCACCTGCTCACGATGACATGCTGGCTAGTTTGTTTTCCCCACAGATTTTCATTCTTTCTGATAGGGAGAAGCCCCAAGCAGCTGAGCCCTCTGGCCTGGGCAACAGTTTTAGTGTTCATGGTAAATGACCAACCCTGGTCTCTTATGAGCTTATTAAGTTCACATCGACCCCTGAGAACCAGTGATATAATGTCCCAGAATCCTTCTGCATATGGTGACAAGACCACATTTGTAGGCCAAGACAGCTGAGGACCAGATCCTGAACCCAGGCAAGTGACCCCCTCTGAAAGCTCAGCCTGAGTGGCCTGGAGCCCACCACTCACATGCAATAACAACTCTTAATTTTATAACCATAACATTAGTGTGCATTTTTTAACAGGAAGCTGGAAACTTCTCTAAGCTGATATAGTCTCCTTTGCTAAAATTTTATTTCAACAGGGATAGGGAGATTCTGCCTTCAGGGACAGAGGCGACCTTGCTGGTCCTCTTGGCACATACATTTTGAAGGGTGGGGAAAGAGGAAACATGCATAATCTTTCCTTTTTCCAGCCAAGGACCCATCTGCACCTTGACTTTTTGCCTTTATGATGCTTCTCCAAAGAGCCTCCAGGATCGTGGTTATGAAGATTTGAGTAAAATGCTGAGTGCCCAGACCGTGGCAGACTCTAGAGGCTTGTTCTCCCCCAATCTCCACTGGCTCTATGGCAGGTGATGTCAAAAATAAAAGCGCAC